TTTATAAACACACCCAAAAAATATACAATTGTTGATTTTGGGGTTGATTTTGGGTGTGTTTCTATGTTTAAATAGTGCTTGGGTTTTTTTATAAATACATGTCTAGGATTGGGTTTATTTATAAATTTGTATAATAAAAAAACTTGTTATTATACTACCAAAAAGGTGTTATTATTAAATAATAATTTTTTAGGTTTTCTTGTTTTATACTTTTGTACCTACGTATCTTTTCCTAAATATTTAACGTCTGTTATTCCTTTCACATATCAAAACAATTATAAAGAACAATAAAGTCACTAATAATAAAGTAACCAATACTAACCAAAAAATCATTTCTTCTTCCAATTTTTCTATCTTCCCATTCATCATCCGTGGGCCCTTCTTCCCCTTATTCTTTCCATTGTACCAATGAATAATCTATAATAATTCAAAATTTTAGATCAGCTAATTGTTCTCAGATAGCACCTGCTCCAGTAGAAATTTCTCAATTTCAAAAAAAAAAATATATATATATAGAAGCCTTGGGTAGTTGAAAAAAGAAAAGTGGGATATTGGATTTCATATTCAAATGAACCTCATAATCGTAAGAAAGTAGGTTTTTTTAGCTATGGGCCTAGTGAAAGAAAATTTTGGATAGGATCCTATAGGATCTCCTCCCTTCAAAACCGGACGTGAAAGTTTTCTCTCATCCGACTCAAGTAGTTACACTAAATAAAGATAGAGAGAGGGGTTCCCACTCTAAAATTCTATAAAACCCAACTACTCCTTACTCTAGTTCCCAAAGAAGATCAAACAACATTTCATTGATTCCTTCTTCTTTTTATATTATTAGTTATTAGTATTAGATTTTCTGAATTCTTTATTTGATTAAGCAACACCAACACAAGCATTAGTCCAATCTGATGATCAATATGCTGAAACAAGAGTTAATTAATCACTAATCGTGTCATTGCGCGGGTTAATTTACATGGTCAATTTGCGTTACTTCGGTTTCTTTTTTCTTTTTTTTATTCTACATTTCTGAAAATTCACTTTTCAAAAAGAAAAATAATACAACAAATTGTTTGCCTCCTTAATGTCCACTGGTGAGGTTCGGGTTTCCATTAGGGCCGACCCTGACTTTGAGTGGCCCAGAGACAAAAATTAAAATGAAAAAATAAAAAGGGAAAAAAAAAAAAAAAAAAAAAAAAAAAAAAACAAAACACATGTATTTTCTTTTTGGAATAAATATAGAAGTTTATTTGAACTAAAATGCAAACTATCATATGGTTGACAACAACAAAAAAAAAACAAAAACAAAAAAAAACCCATCAAACTATAAGAATTAAACTTTTTTTTTTTCAGGAAGTGTGTGATTAATTGCAATTTTTTTTGCTTTTATCTTCTTTTTATTGGTCGAAAGCTTCTCTTCTCTTATTTTTGTAGATTTTTTCCACTCAATATGGATTTTGAAGTATCAAATCGGGCATATATTAATTTGTTCATAGCCCGTGAGCTTAGAAATTTAAGGCTTTGAGGCTTTCACAAGAGTTTGGTAGGTTTGGGTGTCTAGAAACTATTTTTGGGTGTCCATAAAATCATCCTTTTTAGCCTTATTAGACTTGGCTTTTAATTTCAGCCCTCTCCTAGCCACAAATTTTTTTTTCCTTTTTTGTGTTCTATGTGCAAACATTTTCTTTTGTGCGTTTCAGTTCAAATCTCACTACTTAGCCTTAAATGTAACATGATATATAGTTTTGACTAGCATGAATTTGAATGACCAAAAACAAAACAAAAGGACTTAAATGAGATTGAATAGCATGATATATAATTTGTTCTTTTAGGAATTTTAAGGTACGAGGGGCAACTTTTTTTTTTTTCTTCTATTTATTAGGGTGTGGAGATTTGAACTTGTGATCTCGTCCAACATTAGAAAGAAAAAAAAAAGTACCAATAGAATAAAAACTACACGAGGACATAATATATATATATATATATATGATATAATATGTGAGGTATATAGGGCTTATTGCATAACATGGCTTGACGATTATGTTTCTTGGGCTTGTATAAACTTTTCATGACGACTATGTTTCTTAGGCCATAAGAATACGAGGGCTAATACATGTTGTAAGCCCTTATCTATTAAATGTTAGATGCTTTATCCAACTTGCTAACTGTTGGATACATGTTGTAAGCCCTTATCCATTATATATAATTTTCCCCTCCTCCCCTCCTCCCCATCACTCCTCCCATCCCAGACCTTCCCCTCCCTTTTCCTCTCCTCCCCACCCCTTCCCTCCCCTTACCTCCCCTCCACCCCTCTACCCCTGGCCCATCCCCTGTAGCCCCTCATCGTCCCTCCTCTCCTCCCATTCCCGCCCTTACCCTCCCCTCATCCCCACCCCTCCCTTCCTTGGGGCTTTTACCAGCTTTCGACTAGATTTTGGTGATTGGCTGCTTGACTATCTTGGGGACGACATGGTGGTAGTTCAGCTTTTATTTTCTTGTTGTGTGGTGCAGTTTTTAGAGTTGTAATAAGTGTGTCAACTTTTTTTGAGTTTGTTGCATGTTGTAGTCTCTACTTGTAGGTTTTACTTGTGAGAGTTTAAAGGTTGTAGTTGCATTTGTAGTTTTGTAACACTCATTTGCCTAGTTTTTCAAGGCTTGTGACTTTTATGGTGGAATTTCTTTGGCCCTGTGTGGCTATGAGTAGAGGTATGTTTTGTGCATATGTTGTTGTTGGTGGGCTCCTTTGTATTTCGAATACCCTTTGTGGTTAATGTGCTTGCGTAGTTGTATTAACTCTATGTATTTATTTGCATTAGCCTTTGTGTCTAACGGTCTTTAGGCCTAAATTATGAATGCAATTTATCGTCTTTCTCAATTAAAATATATATATATATGTGCCTTGTTATGTGCTTTAAACATTAAAATATTTATTTCATAAGAGATTTAAGTTCCCCCAAAACGACAATTGGACATGGGATAGTCAATCTTAACAGACGGGAATGGCTACGCCCCCCTGCTCCTCAAGCTAGGTCATCTTGCAGTATATAAAGAAACATCAAAGTTGGTTTGATACACACAACTCCCATCAAAGATGACGAGTTACACAGATTTTTGGATAGGTTACAACCATTGTAAACAATCTGGTGGTGGTAGGTGTCATAACACTATCGTACGGTGCGTGTGCCCTACTAAAATATTTACAGGCAAATGTAGTAAGTAATGTATATTAAAAAATTTACACACATGCTCTTCTTCTTCTTCTTTTTCTACTTCTATTTTGGGTGTATATTTAAAACCAGTTCTTAATAAAAATATGAATAACTGGAAAATCAGATTACGAGAGCAATGGAGAATTCCCTATATTTTATTAATGTAATTGTAACTTCATGTATACACATGGGGTACGGTCGTGGCTCTCTCTTTATACGATTCTGGAGATTAATTATGTTTAGTTGCTCGCTAATAAGATTTTGAATATCATCACAAAAATTCAGGAAGAGAAGGTTGATTAAATTAATTCAAATCCTTCATTGAGAAGAGCCCCAATCACCCACAGCTTCAAATTTGGCAAGTTGATCTCCTGCTCACGCTCTTTCACCTGATTTAATATGACATATAGACCACTTATTTTCAGCTGAAATAGTTCGATTAAAATATGTAACAAAAAAAAAGGAGAATCAAGTAAAATACTTAAAGGTAGAAGAAGAAGAAGAAAAATGCATACCTTCAAAGTAACTGTGAGTACAAGACTCTCAGAAGCAGTGGTCAAGTTGGAATTTTGAACATTGAAAATTATAAGGGACTCAAGTTATAATGTTTCAAATATTTATTTTTATGTTTTTTCTATATATATAAGCGATAGCATATTACTCTAAATTTGTAAACCGTGTGTCCTTATCGTAGAGTGAATGGCCTGAACCTGGATTAAGGTTTGGGCTTACATTTAATCTCCTGGTTGAGATACCTTCTAGAGATGGCCTACACACTTCAAACAGTTATAAGAATAGGAGCAAACTGGGGTTTATCCCAATTGAACCCCCTCCGATGGTTAAGTCAGAAGTAGTTTAGAGGTGGAGAGAAGGATGTAGGGTTTTTAAGGTGAGAATATTTATTACCTTTGTCTTGATATAGGTGAGGGGTATTTATAAGGGGGCAAGGAGAGACAAAGATATTTAAGAATGAGATATTTATCTCTCTTCCCCCTGGTGGGACTGGACTACATTAAATGACTTCTTCTGATCACCATGATGTTTGACAGGGATTATGTGGCAAAGCGACACTTGGCTTTGGATGGGAGGCACATTAATTGATCCATCACCATCACCTGGATACCCATCGGGGATCACATGGCAAAGCGACACCCTGGTTTTGGATGTGAAGTACATTAATTGATTCCTTTCCATCGCCAGGCTATTGTATCAGACAGATGGAGTGACTAACTTGACAAGGGCATGTTCATGCCTGCTTAATATTAATGAGCATCTTGTCACACACAGCATCCCGGTGGTTGGGTCGGTGTTAGAATGCTCGACCATTTGATTCACATTCTTTCCTGACAGGTTCGGTTAGGAGGCCTTTTATCGACACCTGGGGTAGTTCATCTAGTCGGGTCAGTATAAAGACAACCTAGGCCCCTATGGCCACGTGGTGTTCTTAAATAGGCTCGGCTCACAGTGATGGTATGAACCGTTAACAAAATTGATCTAATTTTTGAGAAGGGGATTCGAACTTGGGTGTAAGGAGGGTGTACTATCCTAACCAACTGACTTAACTCACGTTGGTGTTTCAAATTTTAAATGGTATGAAAATAGAAAATATGTCTGCATCAGTGTGTACGGTGGGTGTACCTGAATTATTTTCTTGGAAACTAGTAGGCTTGTGTTTGCCATTCGAATCTTTCCAGTGTTTCCAATATTATTATATCCTTGATATCTCTGAGGTGGCCCAACCAAGGATGCTTCAAGCCCAGCAATCTCAGACTTAAGCTTCTTGGCATGCATTTGCAACTCTTACACATACTGCAAAGCATCCCCAACAATGGATGCCTTATCCATCTGCACATTAATTCACAAGGACCTGCATTATTTAATAATGTATACTAGCCTGACGGAGTTCACAGCTGAACAATGTCGATGATATGGTTCATCATGCTGTATACCTATCAAAAATAAACATATGCATAGTAATTTAGTAAATGCATTCAAACACGAACCAACCCGATTAATAGGTTTAGATTCAGCCTAACAATTGTCAGACAGTCTGCCGAGAGAAATGTTTTTTAATACATCTATACTACGCGCATATACGAAGGCATACCTTAGTTATATTCGGAACCAAGGCTCGCAACGCATAGAGCTTCTCCTTCATCCTCCCTCTCCTCCTTCGCTCAGAAATCGAAGTTCTTGATTTGTCAATGTTCTTCACCCTCTTAGTTGTAGTTGTTGTCATACTTGTTCCTGAAGAGTCGTCCCTACCATTAATATCTTCTTCTGGAACCTCTTTCTTTTCCCCTTCAAAACTTGGGAGCAATGAATTAATATTAAAGCCAAACATATCACCAGGGGTCGTCGGACCGAATTGGTTATCAATTAAGCAGCCATTAGTAATAAAGTGATTATTATCATGATCACAATCGAAACGATCCACGACAGGGTTTTGATCATTCTCACGGATTAGATTGAAAAACTGATCAAAGTTGGCACCATCCATGAAATCATGTAACTCTAGCTCTAAGCTAGGGTTGTGCAGGGAGGGGTTTTCTAGAGCATCAATGGGATTCATTGTTTGGTGGGTAGAGAGGCCTACTTACTCTTGGTGTGACCAAAACATATATATAGATGGAAGTGAGCAATGGGTGAGTGTACTTTCAGTTTATATAGGTTAACGTTGAGATATGTACACTATATATATATATATATATATATAGGGGGCGGATCCGTGGCACTATATTTTTGACTCAAGTTTTGACACAATTTTTGTGTCATTAGATTACTCGATTTTTAATGGTTGAGATTAAACCTGACATGGCAAAACAATATTTTTTTTCTTTAATTAATATTTACACATTGGGATTAAATTTCTGATATCATATTAATTAAAAATTCATTCTCTCTCATCTCATTAATTATCTTTAATTAATTCATTCTCTCTCTTTCTTCTAAAGAGAATTGACGCCTCCTCATGTGCCTCTACTGCTTCTCTCTCTATCTTGTCCCATTCTCATCCCCAAGGCCACCCTCACCACCACCACCACTCCAACCCCTACCCTACCTCACTAAACCACAAATCACAGGGACTCTCTCTCTCTCTCTCTCTCTCTCCTTCCTCTCTGGTATCCATCTCGGTTAGCGAAAAAATTGGTGCAAAGATGTGAGATCTCATTCTTTTCTATATGCTTCTTATGGTAGGGAGGGAAATTGCTGTTAGATCTTACCCTCCAAATTTATGGGATACAAATCCCCTTCAGTTCTTACTCGAACAAAATGGTAACAAAAAGGCCGTGTGTTCTGCAGGTACAGTGGGCAATTCTGATGAACCCAATTTTTGATATTATAGCTAGTGACCATATCTAAACACCCGTATATATCCACAAACACTTGTGCACATGGCTCTTGAAATGAAAGATATACAAGAACCCAAAATTCAGACGGCATTGCTAGTCCGAGCTACTCTCTAAGCTTCTTCCAAATCTTTCAAGAACCTGTTTTTCCCAGCCAAACAATAATTGGAGCAGAGCATCTCATATTTGACAATTTCAATAAGCTACAGTAATTCACTAGAATAGCCTCAAACAATTACAACATATAATTGAAAATCTCCAGCAGTCGATGCATAAATACTTGTACCAAAATCTCTTAAGCAACTGTCTATCAAGCACAACCTCCCATTGTCTAGGATTGATTAGGCAAGTGGATGCTTAATTATCATGTTCTCAAAACTTAGGAACTAATATGCTAGATGAATTGTACCTATATGGAGAGAGAGAGAGAGAGAGAGAGAGAGAGAGAGAGAGATTAGATTACCAAGGAAAAAAGGATATTACCAAGAAGAGAGATTACGTTTCCAAGAAAAAAGGGAGGAGAGAGAAAATAATTTTATTTATTTTTATAAGAGAGAAAATAAAATTAATGATTGTTTATTTAAAACATTAAAACTATTTCTCATGTCAGATTTAATCTCAACCATTAAAAGTGGAGTAATCTAATGGCCCAAAAATTGTGTCAAAACTTGTGTCAAAAATATGGTGCCACGGATCCGCCCCCATATATATATATATATATATATATATCCTGGAAACGGATGTTCCTCGGGGAGGTAGCTAGCTAAAAATATTATGTTCTGAAGTTTTTGAGATGATTTGCTTATTGACATTGGGATTGAACATCAAAACCAAATTTTAAAGATAGTGACATTGCTCATCTTAAACTTTCACGTCTAGATATTTTTTTTTAATTATAATATATCATCTTCAATCTGTCACGTATTAGGAAAGTCTCCACCCAAAAATTTTCTCCTAAAATTGGACGATTTCCCGATTTAATTGTGTGCATACTCGTGATTCTTCAAAATAACTACGTAGATGAAATTTCAACAAAAAAAATATTTGCATTACCTCTTTCGATTTTAAATAATTTAGGTAAGTAATTTCAAAACTAAATTTTATGGAAATTGGATTACCACTTCCTATCTTTCCTTTCAGTCCAGGGAGGCAAAAAAGAAAAGTTAAGTGTAATGTGTTTTATAGTAAATTTAATGTCTTCTAACAACTTATAAATAAGTGATTTTCTTAGATTTTGTGTATATACAGAAAATAATTTCTTATTTGTTTGTTTAATGTCTATTTGTTTTTTTAATTTTTATTTGTTTATGTACGTGTGGTTGGAACGAGAGGGCTAAGCAAAAACTAGTACACGAATCGAATGTGCTTTGATCCCAAAAGCATATACGTTGCATCAACGCGGTAGGGGCTCTGTGAGTGACGTACACAACCCCAACACATGCCTTGGTCCAATCTTAGCCCTCCACAAGCTCAAACGGAAATTAATTCATCGTTAATCTTGTCTTTCCACGCGTTTAAGTGTGCCATTAGTGCCAAAGCATTTTTGTATTTTCGTTAGAATACTTGTCATGACATTATTACTTAACTTCGAACCATACTTTTGCATTACAAATTTGAAGGATTATGTTGTATCTGTGTGAATTTTACTAGTATGGTTGGTTAATTTCTTCACTTCAAGTATGTTTTGATTACCAACTTGACAAAATTACAAGGATATGGTTTCTTCACTTTAAATTTTTTAGTATTTAAATTGGCTGCTGATGTCATGTTGACGTTAGCATGACATCATGCTGATGTCGACATGACATCAGCTTGCCCAGGCAGCAACTCAGATAAGTCTTGCTTTCGGACTTGTCTAGTTTGGTGGGCTCACTTATGGCCATGACAGCTCAATACTTTTGAAGGGAAATTACTAGATTTTACCCTTCGCTACACCTACCAAATTTAAAAGGGTAGTAATTTTTATGCTTTAATTTTTTCCGAGATGTTTTTTAAAATCAATGGAGGTTGGGGGTTTCAAACTTAGAGCTCTTTCAACGTTGAGAAGAGAAATACCACTAGACCAAGAGCTAGTTGATTGCCCGTAAATTTTATGTTCCGGTTAACCTCTTGTTTACAAAATTATCAAAGCATAAAAATAATAAGGATGAGTGCAACATAATGGAACCCGATTAAAATAAAATTAAGAATTTCATTGCGAGGAATTAGTGCTTGAATGCAACCAATCCCAAGACCGTACCAATTCTCCTTGTCCAGAAAAGGAAAGAAGAAAAAACATCAATGAAGTTTCTTTTTTTGTCAGTTCTCCTTGTCTATAGCTAAAGCATTTGGTGAGATGATTTTTGAGTCTGTTGACCAATTGAAAACTATAACTAATAGTTTGGTGAAAGGATCAGAACCAAGACTTGACATTGCTGTTGAATTGGCAAAGATGGATTTGTCTATTAATGACCAAATTAAGGCACTACGGCTAATTTTGGAGAAAGCAAGTGATGAGAGAACATTCCTGACATTGGATGGTGCTATGAGAAAAGCATTTGTTCTTCTCTTACTTGGGGCGAGGGAGCTGTGATTCACTCTTTGATGTAGTTGGTTTATGAACAACTTTCCCTTTTGCTCTTATCACCTTAGCATGTGATCACTTTGAATTATACATTATTTGGTACTGTTTTTATTAACGTATGCGAGTATATTTGAATTTTTATGAGATACTACAATTATGATAATGGGTTATATGAAAAGAAAAAAGAAAAAAATAAAAATCTTGGCAAAAACAATTGAAAAACAAATCTTGTCATATGAATCTTACCCAAAAAAAAAAAAAATTTCATGTCATTTGAATCTCAATTTCCATTAAAATTATCAAAGATTTTTTTATATATTTTTAAATAGTCTAATCTCATGTTATCTGGAACATCACCAAACACAGTATAACTTAGTCAGACTATTTATCCGAAACAGCACCAAATGCCTTATAATATTATGGATAAATAGTCAATACTCTTCGGAACAGATTAATACTATCCGACGGAAATTAGTCAGTACAGTCCGACGTACCAAATGAGCCCTCCAAGTGTAAAGAAAAAAACAAGACGATAGATACCTGAGCAAAAATACAAAGGAAACCCCATTGATTGTCCAAGAAAACCCATTGTCAACTTTGATAGTAGCTAAAGGATAAACTACTAGTGGTTAATGAGATCGAGAAGAAAATATATATATATATATATATAACAGAAATTCACCTATGTAGACATTCGGACGTTATTATCGTATGGACGTTATGTATTTTTTTACTACCCCTCCCAACTTTCCTCCTTGTTTACAATGGCATCCTCACGATAATAACGTGCAGACATCCGGATGAGAGAATAACTGTATAACAGAAAATCTCCTATGCAGAGATCTGGAAGTTATTATCATGCGAACGCCATGTATTATATACTACCTCTTTCTGCTTTGCTCCTTATTTACAATGATATCCGCATGATAATAAAGTGTGGACATACATATGAGAGAATAACTATATATATAATACATTAGTGACCATATGAGAATACGACCTATGTTAGGGAGAAAAAAATGGGTTGTCTAGCATTTTCGCTAGTAACACCTATAGTATACTCCTTCTTTGTTTGTATTTAACCTATATAGTATACTTTGGACTTACGGTAAAAATGAAATTAAAAAACGAAACTGCTCAACCATCACATTGTAAGGGGAAGAAAGAATCAAAACAGAACCTCACGCGTAAGGTTAACTACTATTATCTATTGGAGAAGCGCGCCTTTTTTTAAACTGGTGACTACTTTAGAGAGTGCATAAATACAAGTTCCAACACGTCATCCCACATTGCAGATAGTGAATGCTTATTGAGACATCAAAAGACCTAAAGAATGATTGGAAAAGCAACGCAGTCCTCTTCGATCTCAAGTCTCTCCACCACCTCTCACCCAATGCTTCACAGTCACTTTATTAGAGCATTTCCAGCAAGCAGGCTGGGGAGGGGGGGGGGCTTGGGGAAAATGTTGTTTCCAGCAACACAAAGCTGCCAGGGCAAGGTGTGGGCCCCAGCAAAAAAAATTTGCCCGGGCTAGCCCTTGAGGAGGTCCAGCCCGAGTAGCAAAACTCGTTTTGGGCTGACGTCAGCGCTGGAGTTTAAATTTTTTTAACGTTGGCGCGTGCAATGCACGCGCCAACGTTAAAAAAAATTTGACGCGCCGCTACAGTGCCCGTCCAATGGTTCTCTTCCACGTGTCGTCTGCTGGGCCATCCGATCAGCTTTTTAAACATATCAAATGGCAGCCATTTTTTCGCAAATAAAAAAATCAGAAAAAGCAAGCCCCAACGGCTCTGTGCCACGTGGAAGCTTCTGGGCTTTTCGATTTTTTTTTCCAGCCATCCAACGGCAAGGAATTTTTTTCCCAATAAAAAAATGAAAAAAAATACCAAAAAAAGACTGAAATTGTTTTCTATAAATACCAACCAATACTCTTCACTTTTAACATCAACAACCAATATTTTTTAATAAAAAATTGAAAAAAAACCAAAAAATTAATTTTTTTTTCTTCTCTCTATACCTTATTTCCATTTTGAACATTTAAGTAAATGTCTTTGTCCTTTTACTTTTATTTATTTTTATATTACTCCATTTACTTAAGTTTACAATGTAAATAAGGAAGTACCCCCCATTTGGATTCAAATAAAAATACTAGAAAATCAAATTCCCACCAAATCAAAATATGAAAAATCGGTTTTAGTGAAAAATACAATTTAGGCTAAAAATGATGGCTCATTAAGTCAATATATGCTTCATATTAAAATCCCATAAAATCAAGTTTTCTTATTTGATATGTAAGGAATAAAAGCCGCCAAAAATTTTATTGAGAAAATGATTATTTCGAAAAACCATTTTTCATACTTAGTCAATATTGCACCTCCGCTAAAACTCTTGAGAAAATGATTTTTCATACGTAGGAACCCAAAAATCTTATCCGAAAATATTATCCAAATTAATTTTTTAAGTAAACAAAGCTGTGAGGTAAATTATTTGTAATTTTCGTTTTATTAATTTCTATGTCATATTAATTTTTATTTAAATGTTTCTTGCAATTTATATATTTTGTTAATATTTCTTGTATTTCCAATATTAATATGAATGTTTCTTGCAATATTTATATTTTGTTTTGCATTTCTAATAATTGTTAATGAATAGTATTGACACGTAGGAACCCAAAAATCTTATCCGAAAATATTATCCAAATTAATTGTTTAAATAAACAAAGTTGTGAAAAAAACAAAAAAATGAATAGTATTTGCCATGGCAAGGGGCTAATTGCTGGAAACACCCTTTGCTGGGGGGGAGCTAGGGCAACCACTATTCACATGAATAGTAGCTGCCCTAGAACTCCCCTTGTCATGGCAAGGGGCTAACTGGTGGAAGTGCTCTTATTAATGCATTTCTGGCCAACTTGTCTTTCTTTTTGCTTTGAGCAAAGCCCAAATTTCATGTTTTATAAATTTATAATAAACAAACATTATTCTCTGTCTTCAAGGCTTCCTGTGCCCTGAAAAAAGCAAGAAAAACAGATACACTATTTACCCCCCACACGGCTCATTTATTCGCACAGCTTCTTCTATTCTATCCTTGTAGGACTTAAATTTTGAGCTATCAAATCAAAGTCATCTCACATGTGATTTGAACCTTTTTTTTTTACAGCCCATACCCCATTTGCTTATTGCTACTTTGTGCTAAAAGAAGAGACACCAAACAAAGGAAAGGAAACCAACCATAGGCTATAGAGATAGCCAAGAAATAGTAATTTAGAAATCCACCACTCCCAAGGAAGGAACAATGGCATTATTATATGCACCAACGCATGCACCAAACCCCAAAGTAAGCTGCTTTGACCTTTTGAAAGGACCTTTTCGGCTTTGGGAAATGACAGTCCAAAGGACCTTTGGGCATTGAGAGTCAACCACTTTACCACAAGGCAAGGGAATCCTATGAGATGTTGAATCCCAATGTCCACGTCCAAAAGGGATTTCCTCAGAAAAATTTGAAACGCTAGAATAAATCTTTGGTGCTAATAGCAGCACCATGCTGCAAGAGGAACTGTTCTGAAATAAAAGCAGGGCAGAAAAAGGGAAAACCCCATTTGAACAACCGACCCAAAAATCCAACTCCATATCTCAGGAGTAGGTCCACCCACCAGGACCACACCTAACCTATCATCCCCTTTGCAAATTATGTGATTTGCTCCTTTTTTTTTACTTTTCAGATGTACAAAAAAATTTCTTTTTGCCTTAACCCGCCAACAAGTTTACATCATTTGAAATTCGAACGACCTGGAAATCAGCCATTTACTTTATCACTAAGCATTTCTGTCTATGAGCTGCCAACTGCAGTAGTATCGAACGGTGTTCTCGATTGGATTATAACCCGAGCTCCTGAAGCAAGCCTGTTTAGGAGGAAAACAAACAAAATGTCAACCAACATTGACAAGACAAGAAAAAACAGGATTATAGTAATAAATTTGATCAAAGTGAAAATAGGAAGGAGTCAACACTCAACTTTCTTCGATTTTGATCACCTTCTCCTTCTCTTCTCTAAAAGAATCTAACCTGTTTGATTGCTTTTTAAGAGATGAAGGCCCTGTGATTCTTTTACTAGCTCCATTGGATGCACAGTGGGTATTGATTTGTGCACAATCAACTCCATCTGAGGAGTTCCTTGGTTTGTCAGAAATAGGTGATCTCATAGATTCACTTCGTGGTTGCTTATTGAGTGACGCCTTGATTGATCTTAGGATGCATTTTGAACGTCCTGAGGTAGACTCCTCTTTGTCCTCTTTGTCCTCTACTGAATCTGGCTTCCTACAACTCCTGCAAGTTCATAAGTTTAGCATTTGAACCATACTTGTTGCAACTGCTGGATTAAACCTGAGGGTAATTCTTTCTTATAAGTACCCCCATAATTCTTCATAGAAAAAACTCCCGAATACTCAACAAAGCAATAGGGTAATTCTTTCTTATAAGTACCCCTATAATTCTTCATAGAAAAAACTCCAGAATACTCAACAAAGCTATCCAAATTGAGGGAAAGTCCCAGAGATGCAATTTGGCAGACCTAACCTAGTACATGTAACCCCTTGAATTTGCTCTCAGTAGCATTAGAAATGAATCTGCTTCTCTTATTAAAAGAAAGAAGTGAATCTGCTTCATTCCTTGTTCGGGATCAAATCAAATTCTCATGATTTGATGTAATTCTCTATTTCACTGTCACTGTGATGCTAACATCTGATCTAACAGTTTTAGCCTTTGTGATTTGCTAACTTTTAGCAGAAGCACATTCATTACAAAGATCAGATAAAATGGATCACGCATATAAGAGACCACAAAATTTAATGTGACTCAGCAGAATCTTGCTGATATCCATAGACAAGGGGGAAAATCTGGTACGTTGCATCTCTATCAACAAAGTCAGACAACTACCTCATAATCCTAGTTATTTCTAACTACACATCTATTAAATTACCAGAGCTAAATTCCTTATTTGACAAAGAAAAGAATTCCTTTCTACCCTAGTAAACCCAAACGAGTAATTAAATACAAAGCCTACAATAGACCAAGCTAAATTGATATTTGAGAAATAATATCCAATATGATTTAACATTATGTGAAACAATACCTTGAAGTAACAGGTATTGTTACTTCAAGGCTTCCAGCTGCTTAAACCGACCTAACTTGGATGTTCAGAAGTCTAATTGCACTGATCATGGTCTTGATCAAGCTAGGTTTGCTAAGCAACCAAACTTTTGCCAAACTTTTGACTTCAAATGTGCTTGCAGTCACCAGGAATGAAGAAGCACCAACGGGCCCAAGCTCAAGTTGTTCAACTTATCTTAGGAGGGGCAGTCTATGTTAAAGCATCATTCAAATTCTATAACTGATTAATCTGATTTAAGAATTAAGAAACATCTTAGTTCTTCAAGGTAGCTAAGAAGTCAAAACTCTGGTAGAATCCCCGGGTTTAACCATCTAGGGAAACTGCATATGTGAAAATTTTCAAATAAACACCCCTGCACTTCACATTATCATCATCTTAAGTATGCTTTTGACTGATTTTGGTCCGACCTTACTATCAAGTGGTAAGAGATTACCCTAAAATACTTGTATCATAAGACAAAAAGTGCCTAAAAGAACTGAAAGAAAAGTTCAGGGACTAGGCAAACCTGTCAGCATTGTATGAAGATGATCGCTTTAGAGCTGAGCGTCCATCTTCGTCCTTGAGCATTTTAGTCTCAATCAAGCTCCCACTAAAATATTCTTTCTCTTCCAATCTCGAACCCCTTAGCCTCGGATTGTCTGATAGGCAGTCTAGCTCTCCCAACATTACCTTAGTGGAAAATAATGGGGAGTGAAATTTGGAATGGGAAAACCTGGGCTTGTATGTTGGAATAAGACCAAAACGGTGATCCTTCACTGATATTGACCCACATGAGATGAGTTGCATAAGTACATTAGTAGCCTTGGCCCTTGGATTGTTTGTCATTCGAATGTCTTCCTCTTCAAGAATTCTAAAACTGTTAATTTTACTAGCATCGGCCCTAATAAGTGATTCCAGAGTTTCAGTCTTCCCACCCGATGAAGATGCACTAGAGGAAGATGGAGGAGGAGAAACCGAATCACTGCAAATCTCAGAGTTCTCTTTCTCACATGGAACTCTGTTTTGGTAATAACTACTATCAGGTTCTAATGACCCATCATCAGTGGAAACACCCCTTGTACATGTTTCTTGAGCTTTAGGTTTGTTCACATTTTCTTCAGTCTGCGTAGAAGCATCAGCTAAACCGTCACTCTTGTAAACCTTGTACTCTGTCAAGCTCAGAGAACCCCCCCAAGAAGAACTCTTTCCAACTGTAGACTCGGGAGACGCACTGGAAGAGCCTTCGGGACGTTGAACTGGAGGAGAGAGCTCATCTTCTTGAGAATGCTTTGTTTCCTTTCCATTCAAACTCGAAGAGGATGAAGAATCATCTTGGCTTCTAGAAGATGCTGGCTCTGGTGGTTGTTTCAAGTTCTGGATTTTTATATTTGCCACAGGGCTAAAACGATCTGTCCAGAAAAAAGTAAGCATCTAGATTTAGGATGTTTAATTTATTTACCATGGAACGGAAAATTTTGGTCAATAAGCAATTTCTATTATCTGGTGCAAAAAATATATGGAAATTTTACTAACTTCAATTGCTAGCAACCAAACAATGAGAAAATGAATCTTCTACCCCTTTTACCTGAATTAGATTCTTCAAAGAGCTCAGAACCCTTGAGGACGTACTCATTTCCATGGGCCGGAAGAATCGGATCATCTTCAGAGAGATCATGCCAAACGAACCCATTCTTATAGCTTCTGTAGTCATTCAGACAAACAAACCCCACACTTAAACACTGTCTTAAAAATCGACCATTTCTAAAATTTGGGCTGAAAAAGGAGTAGAAATTCACCTCTTAGAAGACCATGAATACATGGAAGCCATGCCTCTGCCCCTCAGAGCATTAAGCCTATTAATCACATCTGCACCAAAAAACATTTAAAAAAAATAAACAAATAAATCCTCAAAATTCAGAAAAACAAAATACCCATTAGAAAATCCCCAGAAATTGATGCTATTTGTTAGTTGAATTTTGAATACCTCTGAGGTAGAGCCCTTGAGGAGAGGTTACAGTAACCTCCATGAAATGAGGGTGTTCAAGCTGTCGATTTCGAGAGAGATAGTAAACCACAGGGACTTTGCGATTCTGATGGTATTTAGGCGACTTCTCAGTCCACACTTTAGCCCTCTCAGGACTCACTTGTGAGTACTTCTTCATCCTACCCTCCATTGCTTCCTTCGTTTCAGCTCAGTTCCACAGTTTTCTAGCAAGTTGAAAGCTCTTTATGTTCTGGGTTCTCACCAAAACCTAGTAAACAAAGTTCTCGGAGCTTCAATGGCGGAGATTTGTGGGTTTTTAAAATGGTGGAGAAAACCGGATCAGAGATTCAGTCTTCTTGAGAGACTTGGAGAGTTGGAATCTTTGAACCAGTCAAAAACAAAATTGAACTTGTTAAGAGGGCCAGACAAGGAGACAAAAAAACACAGACAGAGAGAAACAAAGAGATGAAGCTGATGAAGCATCGGAGGAAGTGGACGCCCGCATTTATTGCATTGCAGAATGGCACACACACTTTGCAGTATGTGTTTGTATTTACGACGCTGTCTATTTATGTGTCTGAGAAAAAGCTTCAAAAGGAAACCGAAATTTATTACCAGATAAATAGTGGCTGCTTGTTGCTTCAATGCGACTCTCTCTCTCTCTCTCTCTGGCTTTTGCTGCTTTTCGATTATTTTGCTTGGCTTTTGCTTGTATTGTTTTATTTTATATTTGTGTACGGGTTTTATCTGATGTGAAAGCCAAGGATCGTCTCACAGACTTCAGAAAGAGTGAGAGTGCTATGGCTTTTCAACTTAGATTAATTTTCAGGTTATCGTAAATGGAGTTTTGTTCTTTCTTTTACGGAGATATAACAAATGAGAGCCAATGATAGCTGCTTTAATTGGTAAAGTCCTACACTGTGTGTAGCCACGCTAGTATTCGAATTCCGCTGTCAATAATCCTCGTTGGTACGCAATCTGTAATTTCCCCTAGTTCTTCTAAATTCCAACTCGGTTTCTACATCAAAATTATTACAACAATGTAATATTGTCAAATAATCTACGATGACTTTTCTATCTCCCTTCAAACTCTTCGGCATCTGCAGATTTTTTTTTTCCTGGTTGGAATGTGTGTTTTAGATTGATAATCTAAAAGGCGTTGAAGTCTAGATTTTGTTTTAAAGTATTCTAGGTCTACTCTTTCTATGTGGCAATATTAACTTTTCACAAACTTATTCTCACAGATCTGGTAAAACACTCATTTTTTTAATGTTTTTTTTCGAAATTTTGTAATGTTCTATAGCTATGAAACTATACTATTGATATGATACCAGTTTGTGTTTTGTTAAAGTAATTTCCCTCAATAAACTCATTAAAAAAATTTAAGGCAGAATGATGTGAGTGAAGTCTGGCCCAATTGTGTGGTGAAACATGACTTTGATACGATATATTAGAGCATCTTCAATAATAGTAGCAAATTAAACTTTTCGAATTAAAGTTTATTGACTTATGTGGCAATTTGAAAATGTTTATTTGTTACTTGAATAATTTTTGCTCAATCAAACTCTTCAATTCAATTAATATAATATCATGGAAAAGAATAAAAAATATGAAAACATGTGAAAAATGTCTATATATTTATTATATGAAAAGAAAAAAATGTATGCTTTTAACATTTTTAAGGTAGGTTTTGTTTTTCCAAAGTAAAATTAAATGTTTGAAAAGCCAAAGTCAACTTACCAGTCCTAAAGACAGAGAAAGAGGTTGCATCTTTGATGACTGAGGTTGAAGAGACTGTTGGAGAGAGTTTTTCTGATATGGCTCACTTATTTTAGAATTTCAAAGCTGTTGGAGATGCTCTTAGAAAAATATTTGTACTTTGCCATATGTATTCCATTCACATATAAATTTATGTATTTAATGTATTCAAAAATATATATATCTTCTTTACAAGGAAAATATTTGTACTTTGCATTAAATATGTAAGTAGAATACACGTGGTATAAAATGAATGAAAAACGTATAAGAGAAGATAGCTAGCACTCTTCTTGTTCCGTTATATGCCCGTATGCACTGATGCTACAGGACAGAATGATTGTGCTTTTATCATTTTGGAATAATCCACTTGGCCTAATAATTTGTAATGTTCTTAAACCCGGACATTAATTCATGCTTATCACAAACAATGTGGTCCAAACCTGTCAAATTAAAGAATTAATAATCCCCAAGACATGGCGCGGAGGGCACTGAATTGTATTGCCATATTATTATCAATCAATTGGAACTGTCAAACATTGTATTTAATTTAGTCTAAGATTTACACCTCCCTATTATTATCAATCAATAAAAACAAAACATTTCTATTTATGCATTTATTTTCCCCACTCATCTACTCTCTTTTTTTTTTTCTTTACCAATTTTAAGAATTAAAAGATTAGTGCTGACAATAATTTTTTCATAAAATGATGATATTTTTGTTATTTATTTTGCAGATGTTATTTCATTGGCATTGACAACGCCGTGGTTTTGTGGGAACAAATAAATGGGGATGAAAGAAAGGGATGGGAGAGAATAGGAGGAGGAAAGTGAAAAGAAATTTTATTCATAAGTGCTTTTTCTAGATGCGCTTATGTATGAAGCAATTATTCATAAGTATTTTTTTCTAGATGAGCTTTTATTAGAAGCACGTCGAAATTTTTATTAAAAATCAAATTTCTTTAATATAAAAAAAAGCACTTAGAAGTGCTTCTTGAAGAAGTATCAGAAAACGTTTTTATGACCTAGAAAAAACTTGAAGTTTTCTATCAAACGGAATCATAAGCGTTTTATGTGTGAAAAACTCATTTCAAAAACAGTTTCAAATATGCCCTAAAAATTTCAACATCATTTTAAATGAAATAATACCTGATGCAGGACGCATGACCTTTTTCTTTGCGTGTTGAATGTTCATCCATTTTTCTATGAGTTTATCATTGAATGAGATTCAAATTTGCAGGTTGGTTGAGCCCCAAATCAGAAGCCAACAAGAATGAAATTTGCTGCATTAAGCCACTAACCTGAGAACACAGCAATCAGTATTTTAAAACGAGTAGGTGAAGTTGAGATAGTACTCTTTGTCACCTCTGTAGGAAGAAAATGACACATCATCTAAAGTATTAGTGTCTACACTTCCACCTAACCACATAGGACTCAAGTCCCTTCTTCCCCCTAGAATGATCAATGCATGCGGCTATGCAAGAAAAGAATAAAAAGGATATGCAGATCATCAAATTAGCAACAACTTGCCCCTCATTTTCACACTTATTAGACCACAAGAAAAATAAACTAATTGTTGTAATAAAACTGTGGATGCTCCACGATGAGAAACAAATGGAATCACTTTTTGCAAAGTGAAGCCATGGTATGAGAGGGGGTGGTGTGTGCAATAACTTGCATGTAACATTCAACCTGAAAATCAGATAGAGTTCAACTTTCCTTCTTATTATTGTGATTTTCACGGATATGCCATCATATTTTTGCTTATAAACGGGCACTTGAGAATGCCTTAAAGATCATATTCAGAGAAGAGTGATAAAGCATCAATAAAAAGTCTCATAAAAGAGAAAAAACAATATTGTCACTTGTACTATCATAAGAGTGTTGAGACCTAAAAAATCCAAGGCTAAGCCTAAATATATTCCCGGCCTAGTGCGACACCTTATTGAGAGGAAACCCGACTTGGGTACGCGAAAGTTCATCGTATGCGCTTGCACGAGTCACGGTCCACGTGCCACACCAAGCAAATATATAATCCGTCACGCTAAGAGTTGTAATGAGCCTGTAAAATGCACCAGCTCTATGAACCCATGCTTATCCTATCAAACGTCATTTTGACTCAACCACAACCTTTTACAATACGATAAAATTCGAGCACAAGCACGCCAAACAACATGCAAATGTCAAGCACAAAACCCTTATTTTGCACCTAGTCATGCTACAAGCTTAAGTGGGGCCAAGCCACGCAAATGTCCGGGGCTTGCTGAGTAGGTTGTGGTATGGATGGTTATGAGCATTCACGATGCAAGCCAAGAAGTGAAAGTTTTGGGCAGCTTGGGAGCCCCAAAACTAGAGCCAATTTCTTAAGCCCAAATACATGGGTAAGCATGAAAGAGATAAAAGATAGTCCATCACCTTAGAAAATTGGCCCAACATCTTATTAAATTAGCCCATCACCTTAGGAGTGGCCCAAACAACCTAGAAAATATCTTGAGAAAGTCTCCAGCACACGCCCAAAGACAAACCCAAGACAACTATCTAAAAAACAAAGGATACTTGCATGTGCATACTGCTGGGAGTCTCCAGCACATGGACAAAGACAAACAACGATAGACCACCTGAAAAACCAAAGGATCCTTGAATGTGCAGGTGTTGAGGCCCAAAAAATCCAAGGCTGGGCCCAAATATATTTTCGGCCCAGTATAACACCAAGCAGAAAATCCTTATTCAAGCAACATGCCACGCTACAAGCTTAAGTGGGCCCAAGCCACGCGAATGCCTGTGGCTTGCTGAGCGGGTTGTGGTATAGATGGTTACAAACATTCATGAGGCCCATTGATGGTCCAAGGAGTAGAAGTTTTGAGCTACTTGGGAGCACCAAAACTCAAGCTCATTCCTTGAGCCCAAACATATGGGTAAGCATGAGAGAAAACCCAATAGTCCATCACCTTAAGAAAAGGCCCAAACATCTTAGAAAAATATCCAATAGCCATAGCCCATAAAAAATCCCACATCAGCCAAAGCTTCCAGCAGTCTGACGAAATCAAAGGGAATTCACAAGCCGCTGGAAACAAAACAGCCTAGCCCAGCACCTTATAAAATATCCAACGTCATGCATCACTGTCAAAACCAGATTGTAGCCAAACCACCAAAACCAAGCAAACCCATGTGCTAATCACCCTTTTGACCAAGCGTCCTTACTCATTCTTTCCTCTTCAAGCTTTGGTGAGAAAACAAGAAGCAAAAGTGGGTGGCTCCTCACCCATATGGAGAAGTCCAACTGCCTGAGGACCTTGGAACTCCAAAAAGCTTTATGCCTACATGCTCAGACTAGGGAAGTTTCACCAAATAAGATGGAATGAAAGGAAGTGAAGGAAAATGAGAGAGGGTGGCTTGATAAAATTAAGGTTTTCAGTGCCTATAAAAGGAGCCACTTTCTACCCAGCAAAGACAACTCACCTTGGTTGCTGCAAGCCTCCTAGCAACCGTGAGAATTCACCGAAGGCAAGCATCCCCTTTGGAATCCTTCAATTTCATGCTTTATTCTTCCATCTTCCTCCTTTCTCTTTCTCAAAACCCACATCTAGAGAAAGCAAACATCATCTCTCATCTCTGGAACTCTTCGATTTCAAGCCTTATTCTTCCATTGCTTCCCATTTTCTCTTCTGTCGTGCAACCAAGGAATCTGCTAAAGCCACATATGCTTCTATCTTCTTCCTCTCTTTTAGATCGAAGGCAAGCAACCATATCCAGAGAGAGCAAGCATCACCTCTCATCTCTGGAACCCTTCGATTTCAAGCCTTGTTCTTCCATTACTTCTCTTTTCCCCTATGTCAAGCCAATACAGAGCCTGACAAAGCTTTCATCAAGCTGCAGGAAAATTACCCAAAGCACCTGTTCATCCACCATAATATATATATATATATATATATCTCTCTCTCTCTTCAGCAAATCCTCACGAAATCATTACTTCAAGCCTCTGTTCCTTATAGGAAACCCAAGCCTTCTCTCTCTCATGCTAAACTCACGAATGCTTAGCTCCCATGTCACAAGCTTTTCATGCCAAGTCAAGAATTTATCTGTTAGCAATTGTTGGTTTCATTGGTAAAGAATACCAAAGTATTTCCTAAGGCTCAGCTACCCTTTCGAAACACTCTTGGGGCATGATCCTTGAACTCAGACTCAAAGGGCAATTTCATGCATGTTTCTCTTTTTCGGCAGCCCAAGCCCATTCGTCAGGCTGCTAGAATAAAAAGACCCATACAGCAGGCTACTGCGAGCAAAACACCCTTCAGACCAACACCATTACCTATTTCTTTCCCCTACCAGCTCTTGCCATAAAATAAGGGAAGAAAGAAGGAGAGAGTTTTGCCAAAGATACGAGATTGGCATAGGAGCAGCTACGGGAAGACTCTAGAGCTCCCAAAAATCTTGTTTTTGTGTGTTTGAATTAGAGGGATTTCACAAAATATGGATGAATTAAAGGAAGAGAAGATGAATGGAGGCACTGGCGGATCCACAGAGGCGCAAGGAGGTGCACTGCACCTCCTCTCGTCGGAAACTTCCTTGGGGATGCCAGAATTTGCCCTTTTGCTAGTGCCCACCAATTGTTTGACTAAATGCCTCAAAGACGTTGTATTGTTTGCTGCATTGGGAGACCCTGAATATTTACCTTATATTGTTGGGCTCAATCTCATGAGCATGTAGGAGAAAACGGTTCATCAATCGGAGCTCCACAACCAAAGTTATGAATTTTTGAAGTTTTTCTAGAGTATTTGAAGTTAAAAGTTGCAGAGGCACGATTCAAGGAAGAAGAAGACTCTGCGTCAGCACTTCTGACTTTGATTCTTTTTTAAAATAGTCCACTAGCAAGCCGACACATGTCTATTTCTAATTGGCCTAAATTAAAAAATTCATTAAAAACTCATATGTGTGCCAAAAAATTCACCCAAAATTACCCTAAACTTTTAATCATGTGCACTTTTATTTCATGACCTCCAATTTACATGTGCTTTTGATTAGATTAATTGGTATTGACTTTTGTTAGATTAATTATGTAATTGACATTAATTTTGTTCATATTTGATATGAATTTTGGTAAACTAATTGTGTCAATGACAAGGATTTTGTTCATATTAATTGATATCCATATAGACTATAATCAATTAGTTGTAGACATAAAACTCTTATTTGTTTTAATTATGAGTGACATTAGTATTGGTTAAATTCTAAGGGTATTTAGTTGTATAAATTTTTTTTGAATTTTTAGCCTTAATTTTTTTTAACACACTACACGGATGTTAAACCCAGGGCCTTGCTTGAGTCCTTTGTAAATTTTTAGCCTTTTAAATATTGCACCTCTCCTGAAAAATTCATGGATCCGCCACTGAATGGAGGGGGAAACTTGAAGATTTGGGAAGAACCAGCAAAGGTTTCTTGGGAAGAAGGAGCTTCCAGGGCCTATAAAAAAGGGCATCTCCTCCCCATCATCTCAACCACATCCAGAGATAGCAAGCATCCCCTCTCACTACCGAAACCCTTCCATTTCTAGCCATGTTCTTCCATTGTTTCTCCTTTTCTCTTCTGGTAAAACACCCAAGAGCCTGACGAAGCCTTCGTTAAGCTGTCGGAAATTTGCTAAAGCCACCCATTCTTTTTCCTTCATTTTTTCCTCTCTTCCCTCAACAAATCTTCTCAAAATTCTCTCTTCCCCTTGCTTCGAGCCTCTGTTTCTCATAGGAAACCCAAGTCTTCTCTTTCTAATGCTAAACTAGTGAATACTCAGCTCTCATGCCACAAGTTTCTCAAGCCAAGCCTAAATATTTATATGTAAGCAACTGTTGGTTTTGTTGGTGAAGGAAGCCAATGTGTTTCCTAAGGCTCCACAAACCTTTCGAAGCACTCTTGGGGCCTGATTCTTGAACTCATATATAGGGGCAAGTCCATCCATTTGCTCTTTACAACAGCTCAGACTCATCTGTAGCTGCCGAAATGAAAAAGGCCCTATAAAGAGTATATACAATTATACTCTCATATTTCATCTATTTTAAAACAATGATATATCGTGTCGCTTATCATTTTGTAGCTCTAATGGATGATATTAGAATTTCAAACTAAGGCGAAAATAACCCCACATGTGGATAAAATGCATTTACAAGCCTTAATAGACCATGTTACAACCTGGTAAGGCATAAATTACCTTGAACATGACAACAACAAAAAATGCCTTGCTAAAAAGTGTGAGACATTTTATCTTGGTGTTTAAAATTCAATGTAAATTTTTTTTTTTTTAAAAAGGTAAATATTAAAAAAGTAGTTACTTAAATTATTGCCTCCTTCAAAGTCACAAGCTTTTGGTGAGGAAAAATATTATAACCAAGCACGGAATCAAGAATTTCTTAATAGAGGTGTAATTTTAGTTAGGATTTAAAACAAAAAACAAAACAAAACAAAACATGCGCTTTGTGCGATGCAGTAGTAAACTGACTTCATTTAGGTTTTTCGTCGAACACCTAGAGTACACCTCCTAGGTTGAGCAGATGTGCACTATGCAACACTTATAATAGTTTTTTTGGACGAAAGCAGATGCAACTACACCTCCTTGGGCATTAATAGATCCACCACTATAACCATGTGCCACATAGATCCATCGTCATACTTTGAGTTCCCAAACAATGTTTGAAGAAAACTCATTCAAATATCAATTGTTTCAATAGTGCCCTTGTAGATGGTTGTAGACTATAAGACTTCTTGGAAACCCATCTGGCTTATAATAAATATGGAGTTTCACTAAAACACCCAAAATGGGGACTGAAATTTTAAAAAAAACTCAACATCCAAAACACTTTATAAACACACCCAAAACCCATCATTACACACACTCAAAACTCATTTATAAACACACCCAAAAAATATACAATTGTTGATTTTGGGGTTGATTTTGGGTGTGTTTCTATGTTTAAATAGTGCTTGGTTTTTTTTATAAATATATGTCTAGGATTGCGTTTATTTATAAATTTGTATAATAAATATATATAAAATATTGAATACAACTTTTATTATAAGTTAAACTTAAAGAATGTCAAGCTTTGCAGATAAACCCAATAAAAAGCAGCCGTAAACAAAACATATTGTTCTTATTATGCTTAGACAAAATAACTATTTAAAAGAAAAAAGGAAAAAAAAGAAAAAAATTTTGTTCTTGAATCTTGATAGTTAAGCAAGCACCTTAATCCTTCCCGCCATTTCTATATTCAGTCTCACTCTCTCAGACCTTTGTCCAGAACACCCACTATTTTCCCCCCATTCTTCTCCATTTGATGCTCTCCCGATCACTGTGTTCATGCTATTGTCTACGCCCACGCTCTCTCCACCATCTCAGTACCTCCATTTCTCTCTTCCGCTCCAAACCCTCTTCTCTTTCTCTCACCCTCATTTCCCTCTCCCCGAAAAACCCTAATCTTCGCGCCATGTCCTCTCGCCCCTCCGCCTTCGACGCTCTCATGTCCGGCGCTCGCGCCGCCGCCGCCAAGAAAAAGCCCCAAGCTTCACCCTCCAAGAAGCGAAAAACCCTAGAACCTAACCCTATTGAAAACCCCCAATTGCTATTGAAACCCGAAAATGGCAGTCCAACCCAAGCCCCAGAATCCAAGGAAGTCAAAGAAGCTCTAGAAAGTTCTAGTAATGGCGGCCAGGTGGTTCCCCCCGCGAAAAAAGTGTGCGCGGCGGCAGGTGCTCAGGAGCGGACGGCGGAATTGAAGAGCCGAATCGCTCTGTTGAAGAAGAAAGCCGGTGACTTTGACCCGAAATTGATGGCGAATTGGGGCGAGGGCGAGAGGGTTCCGTTCGCGTTTGTTTGTTTGGCTTTTGATTTGATTGCTAACGAGACGGGTCGGATTGCAATCACGGATATAGTGTGTAACCTGTTGAGGACTGTAATGCACACCACGCCTGAGGATTTGGTGCCCGTGGTTTATCTGGCAGCAAATCGGATTGCGCCAGCGCATGAGGGATTGGAGCTTGGAATTGGGGATGCTTCGATTATCAAGGCGCTTGCAGAGGCTTGTGGGAGGACTGAAGCACATGTTAAGAAACAATACAAGGTATTTTCCATGTGGGTTTTGTGCGTTTTTTATTGAGTATGTATCTAGTTTTGTGTGATCAATCATTAATGTGGTTGTTGTTTATGCACAATCTAGTCCATCATATAATGTAGGAGGATGAAAGAACAAGAATGTTAATAAAGCTCTGCTCGAATTTGTTGATTTATTTCATTCTTTATCGAGTGAGGTTGCATTGAAATTATTTGAGGATGTGTAAGTCCTTTGTTCTATGATGGTTCAACTGCTATATTTTAGTTGATGTCCCATCACTGGCATTCTTTCTTTCAAATCTTCCTGGAACTTGTCGATTTATGTAGGATTTGTTATTCAACAGTGTTTAACTTTTTGTTTATGACTGTATTTCCTTTTTCTTTCCTCTAATGATAAATGGGGTTCACATTGATAGGAATTGGGAGATTTGGGTCTTGTTGCAAAAGCAAGCCGTTCATCTCAATCTATGATGCGCAAGCCTGATTCGTTAACTGTCACCAAGGTTTTCAGTACATTTCGTCAACTTGCTAAGGTGATCTTCATATTTCCAAACTGAAAATCCGAAATTTTAATACATTGATACGTTGATTTAGATGCTTTTTTTTGTCTTACAGGAAACTGGACTTGGTAAGTACAATTTTGTTTCCTCAATTGATTTTTTTGGTTTTTGGGTCTAGTACTCTAACCTTTTACCACTCCATGCAATAATACTTTGGACTTTATATCTATGTTTTATATCTGCATTCTGTTGGGAAGTTATCCCAATTGCAAAACAATGTGGGAGTGTCAAATTTCGTGGTAATCAAAGTCCTTCATAAGTATAGCTTATTAATGGCCTCCAAGGCCTCGACACCCATGCTTGTCTGTTTCTTTCCTTGTCAAACTACTTTTTCTTTGGAAGCAGTTTTTTCTTTCTAGAAGGCCTGTATTTTTGGTTTTATTTTTATTTCAAATTATGCCTTATGGAAGCTAAAAGGGGGGGCTTTTGGTAGATACATTAACATATTTTTCGTCACATAGTTTATGAATGAGAGTTTCTTTTTTCTTTTGTAAGTGATTAGATTATACTCTATGTACTGTAATTAGCTGGTGAATTGTTTTCTCTTAGATCATTTTACACTAAATTTACTGGTGGGGCAGGAAATATGAAGAGTTTGTGGAGGGGTTAAATTTTGTATACTCTACGGTACTGATTTTGTAATTAACTTGCCCCTTGCTTTTGAAATTTAATAGGAATCTGGGAAAGATAGTCAGGAGAAGAAAAAGAACCATATCAAGGCACTTCTTGTTGCTGCCACTGATTGTGAACCTCAATATCTGATCCGTTTGCTTCAGGTTGCAGTTTGATCACATACTAGATTTCAGTTGTTAACTCCTTTTAGCCTATTGTAAGGTTTAAGTGGTTTTCTCTTGTAGACAAAGTTGCGAATTGGGTTGGCAGAGCAGACTCTCTTAGCTGCATTGGGACAAGCTGCAGTGCATGCTGAAAAACATTCTACACCACCTTCTCATATTCAGAGTCCTATAGAAGAGGTCTGTTTAGGTTCGTCGGGTCAAATGATAGAGTTATACTGAATCTTCCTGCCATTAGATTTTCTGGATACTGAATTTTTTATCTAAAACTGAATTAGCAGTGCACTATGAGTTCAGAATCTTTTGTGTCAAAGACCTTTGGCTATTATATCATTATTCTTGATATTTGCGAGAATATATACAAGCTGATCTGAATTTGTATTGGTGGTTTTTTGTTTTTCTCGTCATAAGTTCTTTACAATTTTGATTGATCAGGCTGCAAAGATTGTTAAGCAAGTGTACTCTCTACTTCCTGATTACGATAAAATCATCCCTGCCCTTTTAAGTGGTGGTGTGTGGAATCTTCCGAAGACATGTAGCTTTACTTTGGGTGTCCCAGTTGGACCTATGCTAGCAAAGCCAACTAAAGGTGTATCTGAGATTGTACAGAAGTTTCAGGATACAGAATACACTTGTGAATACAAGTATGATGGAGAACGAGCCCAGGTTATACCATCTAGTTGAAATCCAACATGTAATTTTGTTCCGCCTGTGATAATTATGTGCCGTAACATGCTCATCCCTTACAGATACATTTCATGGAGGATGGTTCTGTTGAGATATACAGTCGAAATGCTGAACGAAACACTGGAAAGTTCCCTGATGTTGTTGTTGCAGTGTCGAGGTAGGCTTCTATCTTTGGTTGTATATGGTATTTCATATTGAATTTAGGTGCGAGAATATCTGAGGGAGTGTGGTGCTCTAGAATAAAAGTTCCATATTTTGACATCTCCATGTAAGTCCATCAGTTGTGCAATTCTTGGTGTGCCAACAAAAAGCGATGTGTAAAAGAGTTGGTTGGTTACTGATTAAATTTTCAAACTGCTTTTGGGATCTATGTTCTATTACTATGTCACTATTAATGTAACTAATGTCATATAATACATAATGCACTGAATAAAATTAAATATTTTATATTTCTGAAAAATAAGACTTGCTAAATGGGTGTCAAGGCATCTGTTAGTGTAATAAAATGAATGCCTGGCAATCTGTGTTTTGAAATTTTCCAATCTGTATCTGACTAGTTAACTTGTGAAAAGTTTTTATCATGAAGGAGCTCTACGGTTGCAGGTTCATGTTATCCAAAACACCAACTGTGCTTACTTTTCAGTTGCTAATGCTTTCTGTCAGCTTTCAGGTTAAAGAAGTCATCTGTAACGTCATTTGTTTTGGATTGTGAATTGGTTGCTTATGACCGTGTAAAACAGAAAATTCTTCCTTTCCAGGTAAATTATTTTCACATTCCACTCCAGATTTATGCTTGTCTCACAAAGCTCTCAAACATTTGTATGATTTATATTATTGCATTTTCTAATATAACAATATAAATCATAAAATTTTGGAAGAGCAGTTACCCTCGTACCTACCAAAAGTTTGACTCTTGCCCTCCCCACTTCTTTGAATAGTATGCATATGTGATTATGTGTGTGAGTATATTCTTCTTGTGTGAGTACTTTTTTATATATTTTATTTTGTTTGTAAATATATATATATATATATATATTTAAACACCAGGAATAGTATTTACTACTGATGATATTGAGTTAAGATAGAAAATTTCTTTATGAGAAACTATCATGGCAGGTACTCAGCACTAGAGCTCGTAAAAATGTGGCCATGAGTGATATTAAGGTCGATGTCTGCATATTTGCTTTTGACATGTTGTATCTTAATGGACGACCACTAATTCAGGAACAACTGAAAGTTCGTAGAGAGGTACACTCTTTTTCTTTCTTCTCAATTAGATTTTAGAATTTACTGCTATTTTTCTTCTGGATAGGAGTAATTGTGCTTCTCTAGAAATTCATGATTTATATTGCCAAGTTGGAGCAACATGTCTTTCTGATTATTTACTGTAGGTGGAGTGAAAACTGATGTCGAAATTATACTCTCTTTTTTTCCTTTTCTTGAATTGTCAGGATGTATGGAGGTAATTGGTTTGTCTATTTTCGTCATGCCCATTCACGCTTAAGTTTGAAATTACTTTATGTCCACGGTGGATGGCAAAATATTGATAGCTTCCCTGAATTTTTGCACCAGGGAAATGTTTGGATTGGTATCTAACCAATGTGAGTAGTGTGGCATGCAATGGCATCCCTAATTTCCTTTAGGAATAAATACTGCTGACATTCTAGAAGTTAATTATTGCTTGCCAAATACTAGGGAAAGGTTTTATTTTAGAAGTTTTTTGTGCATGTAGCAAAGTAATGGCAGTAGTATTATTCACGATTGAGCTGTAGGATCTTTACTTCTAGGACTTCAATTTCTATGTATTAGTTTCATGTGTCTAGAATGGGGAGTGCAAAAAGTTTAAAGAGCCAGCTGTACTGTTACTTGTATTCCTTTTTTCAAGTAGTTATTAGTCTTAAATGATGATGCGTTAAAAGTACTATTTTTTTTATAGGAAAAATTAAACTTTAATGAAAGTGAACAACAAAGTGCAAGAAAAAGACGGAAAAAGGGTGTCTATCTATGCTGGATAGTATCCTTAATTCATATTGATCTTAGTGATATTATGTGAAGGGTGCCCTGTTGACTGAACTTTTCAATTTAGGTGCTACCATTATTACTGTTGTAGGTATCATTGATACAAATAAATTTCTGGTTTCTAATGTTTTCCGACCATTGTTCATTCTTGTTCCGTCGAGAAAGTACTAATATATTCTTACATGTGGTTGTGTGTCTTGTGCAGAGTCTTTATGACTCTTTTGTGGAAGAAGCTGGATTTTTTCAGTTTGCCACAGCAATAACATCAAATGATATTGAAGAAATACAAAAGTTTCTTGATGCTGCAGTTGATTCAAGGTATTCACTTCGTGCTTTTGATTTTTCAAGGGACAAGTGGATATGATCCTTAGATGGAGTAGTTCAAATTTCCTAAACGTGTTCATGATACATTTGTATTACAGCAGGGACGCAAATTTTGCACAAATACATTTCATGAATGTGGCAAATAATAATAGTAATATACTCTTGAAGAGATCCCTTTAGCTTGCTAAAATCAGTTTTGTTGAGTAGCATTTATTTGTTTTTAGTTCATTTGCACTTTGGCCTGTCACATACTTTCCAGTTAATTTTTTATCTGTAAAAGTTTATCCTCATTAAACCATTACTTTTTATGTTATTCCTTCATCCTGGCTTGCAGTTCTGAGGGTTTAATTATCAAAACATTGAACAAAGATGCTACTTACGAGCCTTCAAAGCGGTCACTTAACTGGCTGAAATTGAAGAAAGATTATATGGAGAGGTAAGTGATATGTCAAGTGTTTTCCATTTTAGTAATCCTCATAAAGCTTTGTTCATTTCTGTTAATTGGCTTGCTGTGACATACAGTATTGGGGACTCACTAGACTTGGTGCCTATTGCTGCTTTCCATGGCCGGGGGAAACGTACAGGTAACTGTAATGAAACATCATTTTCAGTTGAATGAATAGGCACTGTCCAGTCAAATGTTTGTTTCTGTGGAATTTAATATAAAAAAACTCACCTCTTTCTCTTCCAAGAAATAAGGAAGCCCTTAAAAGTTTTCCGGTCATTTGCATCTATCATTTTTCTCCTCATCTTATTGGCCCAGCTATCTTCTTCCTCAAACTGTCACCATCTTATTTTTAAATTGAAAGACAAGGGGGAGGTGATAATGATAATCTGGTCTTCCTTAGGTGTCTATGGTGCTTTCCTCCTTGCTTGTTATGATAGCAACAATGAAGAGTTTCAAAGCATTTGTAAAATAGGTAAGTGCAATTTGTTTATGCATGTGTTGGCAGCCTTTACTATGATTTCCAAGTCCCTTTACCTATTACTGATCAGTCTGCCTAAAATATTGATGCATGACAGGCACTGGATTCTCTGAAGCAATGCTTGAAGAACGTTCTGCCAGTCTCCGTACTAAAGTGATACCCAAACCTAAGGTCTGTTTTTTTCTTCCACTTAGATTTTGCCACAAAAGACTGTTTATGTATTTGGTTCTGTGGATTCTCTTGCTAATTTTTACATTCTTGTCAATTGCAGTCATACTATCGTTATGCAGAGACAATGAATCCTGATGTATGGTTTGATGCCTCTGAGGTAATAACCATCGCCTTTTGTGTTTGCTGTGCATAAACTTTTTTTGATAGAACTACCTCCATGCTTAGTTTTTGTTACCCAATTCTTTTTTCCACATTGAGATTAGAAGTTTTTTGACCCTTGATTGCTTACAAAGAAAAAAAAATCCCCTTTAAAATGTAACTAATCCCAAAGACGTTTACATTATTGTTCAGGTAAGCACTTCCTGGATTGTTTAGTTGATTCCTCCAAGTAGTTTGGATTCTTAAGCTGTCTAGATAGAACCTGTTCAGAAAATAATAGACCTAATAGGATATTGCTTTGATACAAGTAAATGTCAAATTCACTTCAGGAATGATGCTATTCTCAAATTATTTGCCTAATGGATATTAGTTTTTTAACAGTTTTTCCAAGGGTTGAGATAGGTCCACTATAATTTTAAACTTATTTGGGCAAGCAATTTAAAGAGGCTATCAAAGTGGTAAAATACAAATTTGTGGAAAGGAGCAACAGCATAAGCAGAAGAGATGTTGTGAGGAGTAGCAATTTTAAGCATTGTAAAGTTCAGAACATTTCTGGTGCATGCTTGTAAAAGTAAACTTTTATATGCAACAGTTGAGAACTTAAAATCTTGCATGAATGAAAAATAAGTTGGCTCAGCAGTCATAAACATTATTTGTATCTTTGCACATTGACATATCTTCATTTGGAAAATAGTGAAATCTTCATCTTGGACAAAAATGTTAAAAAGGTGAAATGTGAAGCAATTTGTTTGATTTACCGTGATTGTCATTTTTCCTTTTAAGATCCAAAAAGATGTGAAATTAAATTTTGTAGTGTTTTCTTGCTGTATTAGAATATATTGTTCACCTTCACAGATGCATGTGGGCATTTCTCCCCCTTTTCTTCTTAATAATTCAGGTAAAATATGCTGTGATATACTGAGGAAATTAGCAACTGTTTTGCCATAACTCATTTCCTGAGCATTTGGCATTAACTAGGGAAAGTTTACTTTTATTTTTAAAATAGAATTAAATTTGTTGCACCGTAATTTTGATAGGTCTTATGCAGCTCTGTCAGGTTAAGTTCTTTTCTCCCTTCAATCTCTATTGATGTGAAGTTTCTGGATTAGGAAGTTAGAAGGCTAATGAAATTTATTACTTCTAGTTTTCTGTTTGTTGGTTGTCGAAAAATGCAATTGTGGAAAATTACATAGGTTTATCTAAACTTTTGTTTTAATAAAGGGGTAGACTTGTTGGATACAGCATCTTCTCATATTGCCTATGGTGTAATTTCTCCCAGGTTTGGGAAGTGAAAGCTGCAGACTTGACTATTAGCCCTGTTCATCGCGCCGCAGTTGGCATAGTGGATCCTAATAAGGTTCACTGGATTTTATTTTATTGTACTTCTCATTGTATAATTCTATTTGCTATCACTTTGTGGAATGCAAATTAGATGATGTGTTTTCTTCCTCTAATTCCATGTATACATGTGATTAGGGTATTTCTCTTCGATTTCCACGTCTTGTTCGTGTTCGGGAGGATAAACCTCCAGAGCAAGCCTCATCATCTGCGCAGGTGAAGATAACTCTGGTTATGTAATCATTTTGATTCAATATTATACATATGAATATGCATTCTCACACTTCTTTAAAACTTCAGGTTGCTGAGATGTATTCTGCTCAAGCTAACACTCGTTCGAACAATCAAGATGACAACGAAGATGATTAAGGAGCAAAGTTGCGCTATATTTCACTCATTTCTGGAGATGTCTGATGTGCAAAGACCAGCAGTCTTGTTGGTACAGCCCATGTGAGTAATCTGAACGTGATGTTTATAAGTTTAAGCCTATTAGGGTTTAACCGTTGCATGAGGGCCCAGTTGCCATCCGTCAGCGTGTTCGCCAATAATATAGTGCCAGAGGGCCGAAGCTATGCCGAGGAGTCAAACATTGAGATTATCAGTGGTAATGTTTCATCCTGTACCCTTGACCACTTGAACCAAGGGTCATGGGCTTAGCAATTCTAATGAGCAAAACTTAGGAATATTAAATGTTTGAAGCTACACACTAATCTTGTTTTTTATAATTTGTGACATGTCTCAATTGAATGCCAGTGATTCTGTTGATAACAAGAAGATGAGAGAATTTTCACCACAGCTACACATATTGACATTAACTTACTGAGTCATCCTTTCTACTCTTTAACATATTGACAGTAAACATTTTGTCTGCATTTCATATTTTTGCATAAATACAGTTGTCTTATTTAAATGTTACATCTTTTTCACGCCCTTGCGCCTAATAATACAACTCCGTGTTACTTGCATGGCTGCATCAGCCCTCAACCTTCAACCTTCAACCCCTACCACATAGGTATAATGTATAGAAAATGGTGTGGAAGTCTATTTCTAATAATTACAAGGAGACAAGACGTTTCCAGTTTTGAAAGGATGGGAGGATGTCTTGTCTTAATCCTTTGAACGAAGAGCTGTTGGTCAAGTGGGTCACAATCGAACCATTGAATCTTTCCATTCCTTAAGCCTCTGCCGTCTTGAACAAGCAATAAATCAAGTAGCCACCGCTATTGGGTTTGGATTTTTTGGCCTAAATATTCTAACTAGTTCTGGGTTTCATATTTGCCTCCGCAAACCTCACGTGGGTTATCCACCAGTCCTACACTTATTCCTTATGAAAGTTTCAATTTCCTTGTCTATGTTCAATTACTTTTGGGGTTCGTTTGGTGCCTAGGAATGGATTGGATTAGCCACTAAATCTGAGATATGTTGAAGGAGGGAAGAAGGTTGCTAGCATTCCTCTTTCCATTTTGGGGGATTCGAAGGTATAAGTTATAAGCTGGGGTTTGTTATCTTACCATTTTGTGGGGACTAGCTATGACAAGTTTTTTTGTTTTCCAAGAGCAATCCATCTTCAACCTTCAAATTGGTATAAAAAAAATTCATTTCTTCTTTAAACATGCTTTAAATACAAGGAGTTATCTTATCTAATCCAATACGATGCACCAAACGAGCCCTTATAAGATGGAGCTTTGTTTTCGACATCGTTAAGTCTTTGGCCAGTTGTCAAGATATGTTTGCGAGACTTATTAAGACGTACATTCAAATGTTCAGACACATGGATAAATGTTGTTACAACACTTGCTATACTAGCTACCACTTAAAAACCTTTACGATGCTGGAACACTTGTCAACCTTGCCAACTTTTGTTAGTTGGAATTACTATATGAGACTAAACATAAGGGTTGTTATCAAAAATTTTGAGGGGCAACCTATTGCTATCAATTGCACTTGAAAGAACTCTTTCATTATCAAATATAGGTCACATCGTTGATGACTCGAAAGATGACCATAAAATAACAATCATTATGGCTTATAAGGAATTTTCTTGTTGTAGTTGTAAACCACAACTACAATATGTTAGAGTTTGATCCGATATTCTATGTTGGTACAAATTGTATATTTGAACTCATAACTCACAGGCCAAACATAAAGAACTCATAATTTAAATAAAACTATTATGTATAAGCACTTAAACTAAACTAATTGAAATATAATCAATTTTTTTTTAGTACAAGCGATAGTCTAAACTACAAAGCGAGAGGGATTAACACATACACACATACTACCATGGTGCCATAGGGATTCGAACTTTGGGACCACTAATCTGCAAATCAATGTCTTTTTCCATTAGATTAGATCTCGTTGACGAAATATATAATCATTTTTAAAAGAGCCATATTTGACTGAAAATTAAAATGACTCTTATTTCCATGAATGGGCCGGGCTATTGTAGAATAGAACTTTGGAAGGTTTTTAACCATGCACATGTCTGCATGTGCATGTACAGTTTTCTGGTTAACCTGTTTTTTCTTGGTGAAAATCTATTATAGTGTGTCTTGTCACTTGTGCACCTAAAAGAAACAAGGACTGGAACTGTATGAGCTGCATAGAACCAAAATTGCTCAACGACTTCTATGTACCAAAATGACTAAATTCACCTAATGATATCTGATGGTGGCATAACTGAAGGAAGATTGCACTTGGGTTTTTCTTTCTCTTTTTCCTTTTTATTTACCTCACTCTGAATATTTACTTCAACCTTGGTGTTGGTTCTGAATTTTCACTTGGATTGGAACAGTAAAATGGGTTCTTTTACCCTCATTGCTCATTGCCAGTGAATTTAGTAACTCCAAAGTCAACTGAGTATGTTTTGCAGTAATGAAATGCTATTGGCAAGTTGGATAGCCTGCAATAATTTGCTCCACTTTTGAGAGATAAAGGTATAAACAAGTAAGTGGGGGCAGATTAGAAAAGAAGAGGGGTTTAGTTAATTAGAATTGAGAATTAAAGTAAGGGGGGAGGGAAAAATTGATGTTGAGAAACATGGGGGGGGATTGGACTTGAAAACAATCATGCTTCCCTCAAAATATTTATAGATTTATAATCATACATCACACCAGTAGCAGATCCTGATTCTGATTTTTGGGTTCCACTCAACCCGACAAGCAAGGCTCTTAACCTTTCTGGTTGTTGGCCACACCCATCCTCTAACCTCAACAACTCCACACCTATAATCTTAATGTTTTGATGTGATCTCTCTCTCTCTCTCTCTGTGCTTCTCTCTCCTCAACCTCACACAACACACACACAAACAAACAGAATGAACTTACTGAACTAGTATCAAAGTTACATTTTACATCCCACAACAAATTTGGAAAAATCAGGTCCGATTTCACATTCATGGAGCAAAACTAAAATGTGAAAGGCCCAAAAAGAAAAGAGACAAATTAAAATCCCCACAAAACAAAGCTCTCTTACTCTTTTACTGGTTTCTCCCTGAGTTAATCTGGAAAATAGCTGCCTCTTTTCTCTAGAACAATCCTCTGTACAAATGCTAGATCAGTCACATACCCACTTGAAATTCATTGTTTTTTTCTCATCCTCACTAACCTTCTAGTTGTATTCAATTATAATTATATAAATATCAAACTGTAAAAAAGCTGCTGCAGTCAGTGAAGAACAACCCTTTGGAACTTGGTCTCTGAAGGAGAGTCAGAGCCGTCACAGGGGGCTCTTTTCCTGTTGACTATGCCACAGTTGGTGTTGCAGCCATTACTGTTAATCAAGGAGGAGTCTTGGTGGATGATCTGTGTGGGCAATGGAGGTTGTGGTGAAGGAATGGTCACAGGGGGGATTTCAAAGGACTCAAGTGGTGGTGGTGGGTGTCTCCATTGAGGCAGTGGTCCAGCCAGGAGAAGGGTTGAAAGCAGTGGACCAGCTTTCATGACTGCCTGCAAAAGCTTGCCTTTTTCAGGCAATGGCTTTTCAGGCACTAGCTCCACTGTTTGGTGTGGCACAGATGGTCCTGCTGGCAACTGGTTTGGTTGAATTGGGTCAAGAACTGGAGAGGAGACAATGCTTTCTTCACAATCTGAGGAAGAAAAGCCATTGTTGGAGTCAATTCCCCTTCTGGGTTCATCTTCAATGCTTGAAATTCCAGACAGAGGAGCTGTTTGCTGCTGCTGCTGTTGTTGGAGTTGGAGTTGGAGTTGTTGTTGCTGCTGCTGCTGTTGGAGAAGCAGCTTCTCAAGGAGAAGTCTTTGGCATTTGTCTTGTGCTTCATCTCTCTCTCTGATAGCTTTGTTAAGCAGATCTTTGAGATGAGACAATTGATCATCTCTCTTTCTTAGCTCCTCCTGCACTGCAACCCTTGTTTGTTCCAGCTCCACAGTTGTGAACAAAAGGGTATGCCTCAACTCTTCCATGCTCTGTATGATCCAAACAGAGTCAATACACAAATACCAAGTAACTTTTTTCCCCTCAATTTGCAAATAAAATCCCAACTAAACCCATAAAATTGAAAGTTGGGTCTCAAATTGAAGAGAAGAGAAACCTCATTGTGCAATTTGAAGGACAAAAGTAAACAAGTAGTTACAATTTACAAAAACCCTCTGAAGCTGACAAAATTAAGAAAATTGCTTGTTTGTTTTACCTTTCCTTGGCAGTAGTATTGCCAGCTGCTAAGAACAGGGCTGCTGCGCTGGTTGTCCATGCTGTTGTTGCTGCTACTCTGGTGTGAAGAAGAGAACCAAAAGTGAATTGAGATGGTGAGAGAGAGGAAGAAGAAAGAGAGGTGAGAAAGGGAAAGAGAGAGAGATGTGGGGTTTTTGAGTGGTTCTTCTAGCTCTTATAACAAGTACCTCACGTCACTGTTTCTTCTGTTCTTTGTTGCTTTTTTCTCACTGAGGGGGTTGGACAAAAGCACAAAAGGCCAATTCCTCTCTCTCTCTCTCCCCCCGAGTCAGCAGTCAGTCTTTTCTTTTGGTACCAAGCCAAGCCAAGCCTAAATGCCTAATGGCTATGAATCTCTCTAGACTCTCTCGCACAAACAAGCGGTATCGCGAAAAAAACGGGGGGGGGGAAAAACCAAAAAAACAACAAAAAAAAAAAAAAAAAAACAAAAAAAAACAGTCTGCTATGTTTTACTTTTCTCTAGCCGCTTGCACAAATATGGGAAAGAATTTGACATCAAAATTCCTGAACAGCCTTTAACCCCTATATCTAAAGGTAATTATAATTTTAAAAGGAAAAAAAAAGACTTGATAAGACACACTAGTTTATGAGTTTTGCTTTTCTTTTTCTCTTTTTTTATTTTTATTTTCTCATTTTTGGGTAACCGGCTTGTGAGTATTCTGATGGGTTATGTGACAAGTGAAAAGTGTATGAATGGCTCAAGATACCATTACACTCGGCCAAACGAAATCATTTCGAGCGGTTTGATTTCTATAATAAAAACATGTCATTCTGAATTGAACCAAAATCAAATAAAAACTAGTTTTGTTCAATGAACCAAACCAATACAAATCGTGTGTGCTTGAAATTTAAACCAAACTAAACCAAAAGTTGAATCATCCCTCACCATACATGTGCAAACTTGAGAGAAAGAAGGCTCATTAATGTTTTAGCCAAAACCTAACAACGGCTAGCATCCTCTATAAAAGAAGGAATTTATATATGTTCTGGATACATCACGTGTGACGTGGCTAATGTATTATCCAATAGACATAGGACATGTGAAATTATTCTCCACTTTATTACATTGCTTTTTATGACACGTAACTGGTTGTATTGTAAATATTCCACATGTCATATGTCTATTAGATAGTACACCAGCACCCAAATGAATTTAGGATTACATATTTTTTTTGTAAATTATTCTTTACCCTTAGTTTTTGTAACTTTTTACATTTTTAATTAAGAGAAAATTAACCATTACACCTATTGGACCTTACTGGTTCGAATAAAGAGTTGACTAACTATCGAACCAATTACCTTTAAAGTCAACAGCATGATTATAAAACATTACAAAGTAACACATACGTTTATGTATGATAATCATCTTCTTTTTTTCTTTTTAATGTTTTTTTTTTTTTTTTTAGATTAGGAAAAAAAAAAACTCCCTACGTGCGTCCATCAAATTTTGAGTGCTTTACGAATAAAAAACTTAGGGAATATACTTTAATTTATGAAAAATAAAATGAGTTTAAAACTTAGAAGTAAACCATATTCTGTTTTGTTTGACACGTTATGGTATTAGTTAATTAAGTCAAATTATATGTTATGATATCAGCTATGATAATTAATTAAGTCCAATTATATTTATTTGTACAATTTTCGTTCACAGTCTCATTACATAATATATTTAGAAGTCCCGAATTACCTAAAAAAGCGATAAATTTAAGTTCATTAAAACTTTCATATATATATTTTTCTTGCACGTGGGCCGCCTTACCTGCACTCAATATTTTCTCCTTAAGTTACCTGTTGAATTGATTGTATTGAATTGCTTACCTTGAATTTTCCTTTTCCTATGAATATTCGAGAAATCAAAGGTATAGCTACGGTACAAGCACAAACAAAATTACGGTCCTAATTGCCACGCTCCAAGTTGTTTACTGGGAAGTGCTTGCCACGTGGAAGCATTTAATTTGACATGAGACCACAAAGTCTAGCTTTTGTATGATTATTATTCTGCAAAGCAGAGGAGAAGGCTTTGTCTGAATAGTATGAGCATAAAGAATCTAGAAACTGACTAGCCCTCTGATTAAAATTTGGTTTTATTAATATTTTAATTTGAAGTCATATTGAAGTAATTTAAAAGCTGATATTAGGTAAGATTCTTTAACTTTTACTTGGAAATTAGGGAGAATTTTTGTTTTCGTGGGTTAAACAATTTGTTTCAAAATTGCACTCATATGCTTGCGGTCGGCTCATGCCTCGTCTGCTTCTTTTGTCCATGTAATACTATTTGGAATTCTTTTTCTGTCATTCGAAACAATAATATTCTTGCTCTCCAACTTAATAGGTGAATTGTTTGGTCAATTATAGAATGATCAAATGCTTGTTTTTAAGATTGTGTAACTAGTTATGAGACCGTACTTAGTCAATCCATATCAATATAACTGTGTTTAATTACGTCTAAAATCGACTTGTTTGCTTATTGCATTCATTTTTAGTTCTGAAAACGCTTGGACAGGAAAGAAAAAAATTTCATTATGAATATTATAAGAAAGTTTTATTAGTCTTTCTAGCTAGCTAGCTAGGTAGAAAAGAGCATATACGTCCAATGTCCAAAAAAGAAAAAGGAATTAAGAAGGAGAAATGGCATGTCTTGTTTGACAAACCCAATTATGTGATAACTAGGAATCATGGTTTGATGAACATCTTTGACTTGAAGGGTCTGCCAAGCAATCAAAGCATGTGCATTTCTTGACAAGCATAGTGAAACCCTAGAGGCCTACAACATACATACGTACATTTTTTAGAAAATTCAGTATAAGTTCAAAATTGAAAACAAAAGTCGGATGCAATCCTCGTATTTGTTGTTGTTGATATAAGTCATTTGTCTTTTGTGATGCCTATGATTACATTCCCTTTTTTTATTTTTTTATATTTACATTTTTTTTTTCATTTTGAAATTACTTTGTTATTCCCATCATGCCCCTAAAAATTAAATAAGGTAAGAAATTAATTTTTTTTCATAATAATTATGATATTTTCAAAATGAGATAAACAGAAAATACTGCCACAAATCACGACTCCTATAATTTTTGAAATAGGCTATTATATTTTAGTCATGCTCCTATATGAATGTTGGCCTGTTGTGGCTTTGTATTCTTGCACTATGGCAACCTGTACACAAGGTACATAAATATTCTTTTACTCTTTGCCATAGCTTTTGTTATTCACTGATTTTGTTTGTTTGTTTTCTTCTTTGATAATACAATTCCTCATTGTTTTACTTATGATTTTGTTGAGCTCACTTTTTTTCTTCACGTTTTTGTTGCGGTAAAGTTCATTCACACTTAATATCTTTAATTAAGATGCAATTAACCATTAACACAAGTGGGTTTTGTGTTTTTCCCCCACATCATTTTCGATTCCTTTGTTTCTTGATAGTTAATTAACTTCCAGTTTTTCCTATTTTTCCCATGTTTTTGTTGTGACATTTTACGATTATTGATTGTATCACTCAAATCCACACATTTTATCTAAAATCTACATGTTTATCATGTATAGTAGAGTATACTACTTATGTGTTAGGTACACATGAAAAAATTAATAAAAATCAATGAACCCAAATCTACAGCAAAAAATGTGTGAACTAAACCCAATGACGACTAGGAATTTTGAACTTAGATCGAAAAACCCCTATATTTTTCTCATACATTTTCCTAACGTATATCTCACTGTCCCCTATGTGGGTGTATAGATGTATAGTCAAGTGAGCTGCTTTCAAAGAGTCTCATTGGTCAGAAAAAAGGAGCTGGTAACCAAACTTTCCCACCAATATTTGGCATTGCCCGAAGAAAGGTGAAGAAAGAAAGAAACCCTTCTGCACGATTATAATTTAAAGTCCTCCTTGGAAGAAAGGAGGGAGGCTTCCATTTGACTAATTCAAGACTCTCTCTTGCTTGAAAATATTTTTTCAATACACAAGTCTATATATATGCATACACGTGTACGGTGTGGAGCACTGAAGTCATCATCATAAATTATGATATGTTGATTATGTTTTGTGGGATATTAGAGTATTGATTTGATTAATTTTATATACAAGAAGTTCAAGAAAATATTAGTTTTTAAATATCGATAAAGGGGAGAGGGAAAATTCCATGATAATAACCCAAATTTTCAAAAAAGAATATCTAAGATGGGGCGCCGAACCTTTATGTCCCATCTGTGGTGCGATTATCTTTGGCTGCACATCTATTGTACGATGCCCTAGGAAGCTGCAAACTTAAGCATCAGACAGACCAACTAAAAGACCATGGACACCTTCCAACTTTTCCACTCTTTCACAACTTGAAGAAAGGTGAGGTGAGGGTAGTAGGGCATACACATAATTATGATACTATTGCTCCCCAAGATTTTGATGGACTTGTTACATGTGTGACATGAATAGATGACAAGAGGACGGGTTGCTTGATGAATTTGTCCTTGTCATTCTAGTCCTCGTGGATTACAGGAACCTTATTGGATCAATGACCCTCGATAAATATTTTGCTTAAATTCCCTCCTTAATAAAATGATTGAAACTTGTAGTTTCGTACATATAAAGCACAATAACACATATAATGTTAAACACAAACCTAAACGGATAACGGGTAACGAACAAGAATGGGTGGGGAGCTTCATGCTTTGGCAACTAATCATGTCTCTATATGTACATTACAATTCATGTGTTATGCTGAGGAGCCAAAGCATAATGCTCTTTATCCTCTAAACCATATGGCTATGAAAGATAAGTAAAGAAAGGGTGTCAAAGCCACAAACTTGAGTGTTGTTTTTCTCTGTCTCTCACGCAGGCATGTTATGAAATAATAATAACAATGATAAAGATGTCATAATACCAATAATTAATTTAATTATGCCAATTAAGGAATATAGTATCAGGACCAAATATATATTCCCATACCCATAGTAGCTTGCGAATTGAGACTCCCAATGTAGTTGCCCTCTCTGCAGCAGAATGCAGAGATCTTTAAGGAAAGTCTTCCTCACAGACAAAAAGAGCAGACAGGAAATATCATTACAATATTACTTTTACCAACATAAACATGCATTATACTAGATAAATCCACCAATATATAAATACATATTATTTTTTTATATTTATATATACTGTACTAGAGCATGAGCACCAGCTCCAACACAAAATATTTGGTAGGACCCATCTTCCAGATTTTACACTTGGGCCCCACATTATCCTACTTGCAATGCCTTGTAAATCAAACAAGCAAATGGGTTGATCCAAAGGGTATGATCTGGTTGGCAACATGGAGAGCACAATTCTAGTGTTAATTTTGTAGTGGCTCTGCTAATGAGTTTGAACCCCTCATAAGCCTACAGGGTGAGCAATATGCTTGCAATTTCCAAACCAAAAAGACATGTAGTGGAGCTTCCCATCCATTCAGGTTACAAATTTAAGCTACCATTTGGACCAAAATTGAGTTCATTATTGAAAGGTTAATAATAAATTTACAATGGATAATTTAAGATAAATTTATATATTAACTAGGTTTATATAAAGAGGGGTAATTTAAGGTTGTCTCTTTTAAAAGTTGTGTTTGGATATATTGCAGGCAAATTGCATCAAAGTGATTCTAAAGCTTCATAAAGAACTAACGAATTTCTTTTGAAGGCAGTTGAGGGAATTTTGTGTTTGGTAAAAGGCAAAATAAGGATACTACAAACATATACCTTGTTAACTAACAACAGTCATTCCTACCCAAAAAGAATTCTCTACATGCATCCTTATATCACAAGAAATTGACTGCCTAGGAAGCCTCTAGTACACAATCTTAATTAATTAATGGTTCAGTTTTCTTGCTAAATTTGCTGACTTGAAATGATTCGAATTTGCCAACGGGATATAGCCCAGTATAAAAGTAGAAAAACTTATGTAAAACGGAGTTCAAATCAAATCAATTTGATACACGAAACGTAAGCACAGGATTTTCATATATAATTAGGGGGTTACATCAAGTAAAATTAAGCTCGAATTGCCTTGATTTAGTTTGAATCAATTGGATACATCACTAAGTAACACAAAGTCATTGGGGCCTTAAGTCACAAGTTGTGGGGTCCTAACGGCTAATACCTGTCGGAATGAAACCCTAGAAAATTATGGATGCCAACTTTGTTTAAGCGTGTGGGTCCCATCAACACAAGAAAATTTAAAGATTAAAAAATGGGTCATAGGTATCCTTCTTTTAGTCTTTAGGTGGGTCGTCAATTCCATCTCAAATCATATCATGTTTTTTTTTTCTGCAGATCTTGGGAATCCCAAGCGGTCGTTATACAAAAAGTTAAAGGCTTCAACTAAGTTCATATTATTATTATTATTATTATTATTATGTGTGTGACATTAATTTAATTAATTAATTTACATCATAGAGTTTATTGTTTATTTGCTAATATAGGCCTGGGGTGCTTCTATTTTAGTCCCAGCCCCCAGGTTAAAGCTTGTTACCAAAATTCTGGGGATTTATTTACAGCTCCAAATTTAGGGTTAAGTGACTATATTCCTTCTTTTCATTTGGCTTATCTAGTTTGAAATAGGGTAATTTATTGAAAAAAGAGCAGAAAACCTCCTACCAATCAATCCAACTAATGTTTTTATTGCGCTACCCTATCGATCAATCAAAAGCTACTCTATATGATGACGAACTCAACCACTAACATTAGGGTGAGTTGAACCATATAGGGAGGAATGTGTTGTGACGGGAGTGGGTTAGGGCTAAGATTGGTTCTTTGGAATTTTTTTCAAATTTGAGGTGGGTTGGAGCACACACTCTAGTCACGTCTTAGTCTGTAATTATTATACATGCAACGGACGTTTCGTAATGAGTTGAACTATCTGACATGTCATGTTGTTAAACTCTCAGTTGATAATTATTCATCTTTTGAAAGTCACCAAATTGCATGTTGCATAACAAATCAAAACTCTTATGATATGATAGTATATGAGACTATGTCATAAGAAAATAGAACAGAAATGCTCAATATAGTCAAATATTTTTCAAAAGTATTGTGTGCAGGTATACATAAAGTTGTACGACTTGGAAATACTTTTAATACAATAAGAATTTTGAGTGCTCAATTACTTTATGAAAGAAAGGTGTAGAATTTTGGGTGCATTTTTTTATTTTAAAATTAAATTAATTTTGCAAACAGTCCGTGATCTAAAACGCGTTTTTGAGGTCTCGAAATCTGATAATATGACGGCCCGTTTGTCCTCTTCTCTTGCTTCTTTTGCTTGCATGTGAAAGAGAGCCCGCTCCGATTCGCAGTTAGAGTTTAGTTGGATTGCGCCACGTGGCCCAATATGGTTTCTAAATTCTCAGGGAGAAAAGATGTTTGTTTTTGCATTGGGATTTGTGGAGCCCATGCATGTCCATACATACATAACATACTCCATAGATCATGTCGATAGCTTAAAATGCTCACGAGGCCTTTTAAAATGTGAGCTCTTTTTATATTGCGGGTGAAATCTGATCCAAGATACACTTGTCCATCACATATATCGGTTACGCAAGGGTCAATTCGAAAAATCAGCTGTGTTACGAACAGTCGTTCACGCGTTATAAAAATAATATCGTATTATAATTATAAGATTTTTATATAAAAATATATGAAAATAAAAAACTTACATGCTTAGTTGTTTTTCTGCCGATCTAGACCTCATTTATTTCTAGCAATCGAAATCCTGAAATGTGTACTAGCATATCATTTAGTGATAAAAATTATGGATCAAATGTGTACCGCCCTATTTTCTACTTAGTTTCGCACGCCTCTTCATCTTCAATCCCTACATCTTCTATGCCCATGCATATGGTTCGACCATCTAAAATTTACCTAAAGTGAGGATCTTTTTGTTGAATTTCAATACTCGATGACGACGTAACTTCAATTACAAAAGGAAGACATCCTCTGCATCTCCATGCTGATATCTTTAAAAAATAAGTCAGAGATGAAAGACGTATATGCATTTCTAGAAACCACCAGAAAATTCAATTTAAAGAAGAGCCCACTTCAAAAAATAATTTCCTCCACCGTTTACAAAATTTTAGCATCTATAAGATTCAATCATATTCAACGACATGCAAAGAATTCCGTTGTGAGCACGCCAAAAGAGTTTTGCACAATGGAGAAGATGTAGAGGCTGAAGATCAAGAGGCGTGCAAACGTGTTTTATTGAGTTTTAATTAAAAAAAGGGCTGAAGAGAGTTAACGAAGTTAAATTAGTGTAAAGTTGTTTGCCACATGTCACAAAAGGAAGGAGGAAACAGGGGGGGTAGGGAATTTGGTAACAGGAAAATTGGACTCCGCTCCGCTCGAGTCACAACAACATATCTGATAAATCACCGTCAGCATAAAATAACGACATCGCAAGTTAAAAGAAACATAAATGTGGTATGTGTTTGATAGTATAGTCTGTTCTAGTTTTTATTTTTATGTTTTTTTTTTTCCTTTTTTTTTTTTTTTTTTTTTTTTTGGAATATACAAGCTCTTTTCAAACTCACTGGTATTCTCAAAATTCAGGTGCTTCCCCAATGCTCACTCTGCTCTACGCAATTTTACATTGAGAGGAACTTCTTTGTAGGACTGAACCTCCTCAGCTGCTCTGCGTGGTGGTCTTCCGACTGAAGATCGCCTTGGGGCACATTAATCTTCTTTCTCTTCTTTACTAGTAGATGAAATCAATGGAGTGGGACCACTATTATGCATTGGATTGTCTGGTGTGCGACTGACTGGAAATTTGACATCCTCCATCTCAAATAAGTTCTCTGTCTGCGAACTAAACCTAGCAGATTGCCTCCTCAAACACCGCCTGAACAAAGAAAAACATGCATTAATGGGAAGCGTATGCAATAACTTGGCACATAAAGTACAGTTGTCAGATATGGGGAAACATCATGCTATTACTTATTGGATGACTGACATAATAATTAATACTCAAAGTCTTGGAGTTATGTGGCTCGATAGAAGCCATGGATATGGAGATAATCCTACATAAGCAAGGTGATAATTCGTACCAAAAAAAGAAAAAGAAAAGAAGGGTGATAACACAATCTACAACATACATATATAAGTTGGGTGGATCCACTACTACTAAAACGACATTCTTTTGTGATAAAACCCTACGCCTAAGTTGGCCCGAGGTGGCTAAGTTGGGGACCATACCAGTGCTGGATCGAGATTAGTACCAATCCTATATTGTTTCGTTGCTTTATAAGTGGTACCAGAGCCGACAGTTCGACTAAGACACGCATAATGTGATAATCTTTTCAGGTTGAAAAGACACATGGTGAAAGAGGAGACTTAGTGGATCCCTTGATCCAATAGGTGGAGCAGCTTGAATAAGTCCTAGGGGTGGTTAAAATCCCTAGCTACGTGGTGCGAGCTCAAGAAAAAATATGGTTAGGAGGTAGAGTTGCAAGGATCAATGCACATCATTGGCTGATTGGTCCATGAATGCCATGGAGGGTGAGCAGCATGTGGGGAGATTGTTGGGGTTATGTGGCTCGATACATCTGCCAAGGCTTGAGCAAACACTGTGTTAGACCTAGGCAGCTAAGTTGAGGAATTATCAGTGACGGATCGAGATTTAGTGGTCTCAAGTTGGTATGTTGCTAAACACAAAAGTATATTAAACATTAAATCCAGCAAAAGCACATCCTGAAATATATGATGCAGGACTATCTAAAAATCTAAACGGGAAATTAAAACCAAACCTAGTAAGAATAGGAAAACAAAAGAAGTAACTACTAATTTAAAGGAACTAGAACCTTAGCCCAATTGACTAACAGGCCTAACTAATCTTAGAGAGCTTTGTAGATTCTCTTGCATCAAACTCCCCTGGTTGGAAAAGACTCGTCCTCAAGTCTAAACCGTTATCATCGAAGACTCCATGCGAGGCTTGAAACTGAATTCTTCCTTTCCAAACAAAGAGGTATTTTGAATATCGGACCATTCTTGAACACTTAGGTTTACTCTCTTGCACCACTAGTCCACCAATATGTTGATAGCTCCTTACTGTCATGGATAAGAGGAGCTCTGTTCACACTCCTGTGGAAATGTCAAAACAGTTTACAGGAGTGCGAATAAACCGCCCCTCTATGTATAGTTACCCTCTTCGACTTCCTAGTCGATGTTTTTTCTCCTTCAACACTTGAAGCACCGCCGTACACATGTCAATATTATTAAACCACATTTAACTTTGAAAACAAAATTAGATATTAAATGGACACCTCACCAACCATTTTAAGCCTCCAAATCCAAACATTTGCCAAACGTGAAAAATCAATACACATCTCAACATTAACCTCTAAATAGGCACCCAAGAAAGCATGTGTACGTTGATTATGTGTTACTAATGTGTACATTAACCTCTATATATATTCGACAAAATCTGAACTAATGTGTTAAAAATTGCAACAACTCCTACTTCTTAACTGGAGTTTGTGTGATTGCTTCAGGGTCACATAGCAAAACATGTACAAAGACATGAAGTTGCAATCTTCCACGATTGTTGCATGGGAGGCCTTTTGACAATACTTTAGCATAATGAAACATACTGCTTGATATATAGAAAATCATATACCTTGTATTGTGACTATCACGAAATCTTTCTAGATAGGTTCCTCAAACAACAGCCCACACACTTGAGGATAACAGTACTTGTGGATGAGCATGGCGTAGTGACAAATTTAACTCCGAGAAAATCATTAATGTTTCTGAGTGTATCTATCCCATAAGGAGAGAGCTTTCCGACCTGAACTTTTGAAACATCTTGGGGACATAATGCACAAAGAAGAAACAACAAACCCTACAAACCCAGATGGCAGCAAACTCACTATCAGAACATAAACATAAATCATAAAAAGGGAGGAGGTGGGAGGCACCCATATTTAAATAATATATTCTACTCTAACATTTCATTTTTATAGCAATCATAATTCATTTCTTATAGAAAGTGTGGTGTGCCAAATCATCCTGCGTGGAATAAACAATAAAAGACAATTCATATTTTAGTGGTTATGTTTGATTGTTACTATGGAAAAAATTTGGCTGGTATCCTCACAGCAGCATCTCTTCTATGTCCTCATTTGACAGATTCAGAAGTCTTTGGCTAGGATTTCAAAATCTTTTTCGTTTGGATATTGCTTTCTCAAGGTTCTTGTTTGTTGTTTAAGATGTTGTTGCATCCGTTTGCTGGAGTAACAAGTGTCAATTTTAATATTTTCAATCCAATACTTTTTTTCATAGATAGCAAGAGGAAAGACAGACCATGAACAATGAACATTAATCATTTTAGGTTAACAATAACTCCTTATTGTTGTTATCTTCATTTGACAAATGGGAGTGATTACTGAAATAGAAAAAGTATATCTAGCACATGCCTTAATAAAATCATAAAGGAATTTCAGGGCTCTTCCTCAAGCTAAAATTTTGCCAAATCTTCCATCTAGGACAACTTTTCCCTTCATTTCATCCATTTCTAGAAATCATTTTCCTGTTTTAGTGCACACTCCCTAATTACTGTCCTATGGTGTGAAGGTTCTAAAATCAATAAAAATGAGAAAGTATGAGAATTAAGTCGGTAGGGAAGGAGCACAATACATAAAATAACTAACCTGGAGATTTGAATCTACCACTCCGCCCTGCCCAATCTCCCCGAGCAGAACAGAAGCAATTTTCAAACCAACATCCTTTGGAGGCACCAGCTCTTTCTTCTCAGAGTCAACTTCAGATATTTGTTCCCCCATGCATGAGAAATAGTTGTATCAGCAGAGATATAGCAGCCAGATGTTGTTTCTGCAAGTAGTGACATTCCATAACCATGTGACCTGCCATAAAGTCATTGTTGTCTATATGAGTGGAAGTGTACTTAAATAGCATAAACCTAAAAAAAACACATTCACAATTCCATCAAATGCATCCTGACATTAGAGAAATATAACAATATCTGGATGGAAAACATACTCTCCAGCTTGTGGGCCAACTCTATGGTCAGTAAATATGTGAACATTGGGAAGGAAGGGATGAAAGACTCCGCAAGCTGCATGTACCATTGTATTTTCAAAGTGCACGGACACTCTCGTTGAGAATGTAACACTTCTAATCCTCTTAACCAACCCCCCTCATCAGTCCAGGTTACTCCCTGTAGAGCAAAACATATAAAACAAAACCCAACAAATGAAGATAAAAAGACTATCCCATAAGTCTCAAAAACTCACAGTCAGACTTTGAACAACTGGGATTGCCACAACGACTTCACCACCGCCTTTAGGAGCGCATCCACGACTCTTTATTTCCAGCTCCAATCCTTCTGAGGGAACTCCAAAGCGTTTTAAAATGGTATAGGTAGTAGAACGGAAGGTATCAATAGATGGGTCCTTGGAATCATTTGTAAGTCCTGAAAGAACAAAATACAAGTGACTTATAGTGGCAGCATCTTTGTAAAGCTCAAATCGACACGCACAAATGCAATATGGTCTGGTCCCATAATCAATAAGGTTAGGCCTTTTTATTCTATTTTATTTATTTGATAGTTAGATTACAAAGATTGAAACTATCAGAAATTAGATTTCTTCTCCCTGTGTTGATGTGTGACTGAATTTTTAGGATTTGACTTCTCCCTGTTGACCGTGTTGACTAGAAAATAAATAAGTAAATAATTGAAAATTTGTGCTGTTGGAAGAGTGGTTATGGTTATATAAAAGAACCATGATCTTAAAGCAAGAGGACATTGTCAAACTCCTGTTCTTCACTTAGACCGAAAGCAATATGAACTCAAACGCACCTTAAAAATAAAAATAAAATAAAAATTACATCAATGCTATAACTAGATAGTTGGGTTTGTAAAATTGTAAGTGTTCAATAAATTAGTTGGCTAGAACCGATTGTTAACATCCCATCTACATTGTAAAATTGTAAGTGTTCAAACAAACTGATTGCTAAAAAATCAAACTGACTGAATTCTTAATATTACCAAAACTTTACCAAGTGCCAAAGTTTAGAACTAGTTACAAATATGCAGTTTTCAAAGTCATAGCAATGATGAAGCAACAAGGTTCGGAATTAGCAGTGAAAAAAGTGGCTACCTTTAAGCGTAATGGTAATGGGTTTCTTGGCAAAGAGGCCAAGCAAAATCAAGGGCTCCAAGAAATACCCAATAGACCGCTCAAAACCACAGTCGTGTTCCAGTTTCAACCGACCCATCACTATCCTTGGCTTGAACTTAAATACAGTGCCTACCCAAACACACTGAACAAAAATAGCACTCAGAACTATACGTACATATATATCTATATAATATAATGTATGAAAAAAATTAGTGTTTGGGGAGGGCTACTGGGTACCAGTGTCGTTGATTTCGAAAGAACAGCCATGGCAGACCAAAGCGAGCAACTTGACGAGGGAGACCTCGTACTTGCGGAGACCAGGCCATGTCTCGTTGGTTCGTATGTCGGGAATTTGAATGGGCGTGAAGGTGAGTGTAGACAATACAAGCTGTTGTCTTAGGTTTTGACTTCCAGATAGCTTCTTGTACCTCGTTTTCTCCATTTTGCTTCTTCTCTGCTCTCTGCTCTCTGCAGTCCTCTTTTGTGCTGTTGTCTGGAAACAAAATTAGAAGCAGAGCAATTGCTGCTCTGGTATATTTTGATAATCAGTTTTCGTTTGAGATGTATATTTGTACCCACAAATTCACTCAACATACTCACAATACTTTGTTTAAAATTTGTGGGGGATTTTCCAATAATATTTAAATTAAGGATTTGTTACATACTTTTAATTTTGATCATTAGATTGCATCTAAGTGATTACCAACATATTTAATGAATGCAATGCAATGACTAAAATTAAAAGCATGTAACTAATCTTTTAATTGGAGAATCTCCCAAAATTTGTAAAGCAGAATTTATATAGTTACTTTTGCAAGGGAATGGAGTTCAAAAGCTCTATATTCTAATTAGATTGCCCATGCTAGTAAAGTGAGTTTCTAACTAAGCAAGTCATTAAAGTGATTGACTTTTTGAGCTAAGCCTAGTCAAGTAAAATGTGGTGCCACAAAGAACACCTCCGTAACATCGAGTTAGTAGGACCCCTCCAACCGAAACGGGTGGGTAGCAAACACAAAACTCAATTGTTTGATTGGGGAGCATCCGTAAGAGCATCCACAATCATGCTCTCCATTTTTTAGTTAAATTTTAGTTAAAAACATATAAAAGTTATTTTAGGAGCTCTCTATAAAATTTAAACTTCAATCATGCTCTCTAGTTTAGAGAGTCATAAATGCTATAACTCTTTTTTGATTGGTCCATCTCTATTAAAAAATAAAATAAAAATAGTTAGCATTAAATAAAGATTTGAAATACTCATTAAATAAAGAAGCATTAAATTATAGGAAGTCACTAGGAGTTCTTTCTCTCTCCTCAAATTTAGGACTTCCTAGAAGTCTCTTTATTTTAAGAGGTGGATATGGAGCATGATTGAAGTTGTATTTTTACAATCCCTCCCCAAAATTTGTCTAAGGAGGTGGTTTAGGGATGCCATTGGATGCTCTAAGAGCACTTCCACCAAGGGGCCGAAGGGGAGGGGGGGGGAACCCAAAATGTGGTTTCCAGCAACAACAAGCTGCCAGGGCAAACAGTGGGGCCCACAAACCTGGGTAAGCCCGAGGGGGAGGCTGGCCCGAGCTACAGCCTGAGATGACGTCAGCGCTGCTGTTTAAATTTTTTTAAAGCTGGCGCGTGCAATACACGCACCCGGTATAAAAAAAATTTGACGCGCGCTACAGTAGCCGCCCAACAACATGATTCCACGTGTCGCATGCTGGGCCATCCGATTTGCTTTTTAAACTTATCCAACGGCAGCCATTTTTTCGCGAATAAAAAAATCGGAAAAAGCAAGCCCCAACGGCTCTGTGACACGTGGAAGCTTCTGGGCTTTTCGATTTTTTTTTCCAGCCATCCAACGGCAGAGAATTTTTTGCCCAATAAAAAAATGAAAAAAATACCAAAAAAATACTGAAATTGTTTTCTATAAATACCAACCAATACTCTTCACTTTTAACATCAACAACCAATATTTTTGTAATAAAAAATTGAAAAAAACCAAAAAATTACTTTTTTTTTTCTTCTCTCTATACCTTATTTCCATTTTCAACATTTAAGTAAATGTCTTTGTCCTTTTACTTTTATTTATTTTTATATTACTCCATTTACTTAAGTTTACAATGTAAATAAGGAAGTACCCCCCATTTGGATTCAAATAAAAATACTAGAAAATCAAATTCCCACCAAATCAAAATATGAAAAATCGGTTTTAGTGCAAATACGATTTAGGCTAAAAATGATGGCTCATTAAGTCAATATATACTTCATATTAAAATCCCATAAAATCAAGTTTTCTTATTTGATGTGTAAGGAATAAAAGCCGCCAAAAATTTTCTTGAGAAAATGATTATTTTGAAAAACCATTTTTCATACTTAGTCAATATTGCACCTCCGCTAAAAATCTTGAGAAAATGATTTTTCATATGTAGGAACCCAAAAATCTTATCCGAAAATATTATCCAAATTAATTGTTTAAGTAAACAAAGCTGTGAGGTAAATTATTTGTAATTTTCGTTTTATTAATTTCTATGTCATATTAATTTTTATTTAAAAGTTTCTTCAATTTATATATTTTGTTAATATTTCTTGTATTTCCAATATTAATATGAATGTTTCTTGCAATGTTTAAATTTTGTTTTGCATTTCTAATAATTGTTAATGAATAGTATTGACACGTAGGAACCCAAAAATCTTATCCGAAAATATTATCCAAATTAATTTTTTAAATAAACAAAGTTGTGAAAAAAACAAAAAAATGAATAGTATTTGCCATGGCAAGGGGCTAACTGCTGGAAACACACTTTGCTGGGGGGAGCTAGGGCAACCACTATTCACATGAATAGTAGCTGCCCTAGGGCTCCCCTTGCCATGGCAAGGGGCTAACTGGTGGAAGTGCTCTAAGAGCATCCACAATAGGCTCCTTAAATCACCTCCTTAGACAAATTTTAGGGAGGAATTGTAAAAATGCAACTCCAACCATGCTCTCTATCCACCTCCTAAAATAGGGAGTCCTCTAGGAGCTCCTAAATCTGAGGAGAGAGAAAGAACTCCTAGTGGCTCCCTATAATTTAATGCTGTTTTATTTAATGAGTATTTCAAACCTTTATTTAATTCTAACTATTTTTTATTTTATTTTTTAATAGAGATAGACCAATCAAAAAAGAGTTATAGCATTTATGACTCTCCAAATTAGGGAGTATGGTTGGAGTTGAAATTTTTTAGAGAGCTCCTAAAATAACTTTCCTATATTTTTAGCTAAATTTTAGCTAAGAAATAGAGAGCATCATTGTGGATGCTCTAATGGTCTCTCTAAACCACCTCTTTAGATAAATTTTAGGGAGGAATTGAAAAAATGCAACTCCAACCATGCTCCCTATCCACCTCCTAAAATAGGGAGACCTCTAGGAGCTCCTAATTTTGAGAGAAAAATAATTGTTAGTGGCTCCCTATAATTTAATGTTGTTTATTTTATTCATATTTTAAACTCTTAATTAATGCTAATTTTTTATTTATTTATAAGAGATGGACCAATTATTTTGAATTAAAAATAATTATAGTATTTGTGACTCTCTAAACTAGAGAGTATGATTGGAGTTCAAATTTTATAGAGAGCTTCTAAAATAGTTTTTTTTATAGTGTTTTTAGCTAAATTTGAAATAAAAAATAGAGAAATGAATTGATATAATAAACATACAAAAAACAAAAAAAAAAAAAAAACAAAAATTTTTTTAAATTTTCAAGAACATTTGGGTTTCTTCTTTGGGAAGTAGTATATTTAGTTTTATGAAAGTCTTCTCTTAACACTAGCCCCTTGGCGTACACACACGAAAGTCTTTTCTTAATATAATTAATGACAAATTTAACTCTAAGAGAATCATTGATGTTTCTGAGTGTATCTATCCCATAAGGAGAGAGCTTTTTCACCCCAACTTTTGAATCATCTTGGGGGACATAATGCACAAAGAAGAAACAACAAACCCAAATGGCAGCAAGCGCCTAATATATATATAAATATGATGTTATGGAAAAATAAATAAATATAATTAAATCATATCATTTGAAAAAAACAGTGGGGAAATGGGAATGGCCAATGGGATGCGTACCCGCCGAAAAGACTGTGAATGAAGTCGCCCTTTCGTGTCCATCCTTCTCCAAAAATGAAAAAGCATAGAAAATTCACAGGGCACAGAGAGGAGAGAGCGAGAGAGACGCAATGCCTGAACGAGACGAGAGAGACTCTCTCTCTCTCTCTAAAGCCGGGATAGTTTCTTCTAATTCTGTAAGGAAACGAGAAATACGACAAGTACGACTTGGAGAAGCAGCGCGACCTCAACCCTTACGGCGACGATGCCTTCGCTCGTCTCTACGCTAGCGTCAAATACAAAATCTAAGCTGCTCTTCAGGTTTGTTTGAATCTCGTCTGTTCTTCATTCCATTGTTTCTGTTTGGTTGCCGAGAAAATGTAGCAACGGAGAGACGGGAAACGGAAAGATTTGAGTGCCTGGTGTTTGATTGTGTGCTGAAATGTCCAGAAAGTCGAGATGGGTGAGTAATTGGGTTGTGGCGGTTGCAACGAATGTGGAGATTCGACGGACCAAAGCTTGATTGGTCGAGGAAGTTCCTAACCTGCCGAAATTGGCTCAAGAAAAGGTTTATTAAATCATCTGTTTTTTTTAAATTTATGTATTTTTAATTAAGCTTGAATTTTAGGAAATACGTCTGATTAGATATGATTTTGTGGCTGTGGGTCACCAATTAGGCTTTTTCTCCAATTGTTTCTTGGTTTTGGAAAAGTGGTGTGGATTGGGCCTCTGTTGCTCTCTGTCTATCCATTATGCACAACAAGAGTGTTGTTCTTGTAGTACTAGACTAGAAATAGGATAACTGTAGAAGAATCTGGAAGGAACTGGACTAGGAAGTCCAATTGGCATTTCCTCTTTCTTATACAATTTTAATTATAATTCAGATTAGTTGTAGAAGTTTTTCACACCTGATAGAATGTTGACAATTGGAAGATATCTTACTGATTTAGATAAACTTTTGGCATATATATGTATATTTGACCCATGATAGAATATCATATTTAAGCGCGTGCCTAATTTAATTGAATGGGGATTGACAATCCATGGATGAATACATCAATAATTGTACCTAACATCTGATTTTTCATAAGATTTGAAAACAAGCAGTTGCAGCTCATATAGTTTAGCTGTCAAGATTGTGTTATTGGATTGCGTTTGTGCGTGTGCTGCGTTGTGCTTAATAAAAATTGTTGGGAGCGTTCCTATCAGTCACTTATCAAATCTATAGTTGTTTAATCGTGGAAAAGGGTATCCAAAGAAAAAGGGAATCAAGCTTTTGAGAAAGATGTTTAACCATTGTTGCAAATGCAATTGGAGCCTGCAAGCATGTTTTCAATTGTAAATGTATTTATGTATGTAAAGTATGTTGGAGAACCCTGCAGCCATGCTTGAACATGTGCAGTTGGTGCCCCCCCGGGGATCAAATTCTAGTAGGAGAGTGCTGCTAACAGCAAATCAGGTCAGTGCGGCGTTTATTTATCATTTATGTTATTGTATCTTGAGCAGGAGTAGAAATTCATAAACAATCAAATTTATAGAGAACATGCACTTCAACTTTGATGACTGAACTTGTTAGCATTAGAAAATTTAATGGTGCATAGTTCTTTGGGTAATATATTCATTTTCCATTTCTTGTGATAACTATAGCTAGAGTTGAGTTAGGCAATGAATCTGGGCTTCTTCATATTCTTCTACTTGTGCTACAGAACATATCTGCTCAGCTTTAAATTCCAAAGCCCAATGACAATGAACTTTAGGTAATTAGAAAAACTCATCATTACCACCTCGGTGGGATTCAAATACTGGTTTTAGTAGTGTTCTTACTGCGCTTTTTTTTGCATATGAGACAAGAACACCTGACATGGAAAGAAAGTGAGACTGCTTCACCTGAAACTGTTGAAGTAGTCAAAGAAGAGGCAAGTTCTTCTGGTAGTGTCTTAATATCATAGGATGATCAGTCAAGCAGCGATCATAATGTCAATGAACTGCATGGGGCATGAGTTGATATGTTTAAACCTATGACCTGTGAAGGCAACCAAATTTCTGATGGGGATAAAATGATATGGGAAAACACGGGTAGTTTCACCAAGGAATGTCAAGTTTCTGAAGAGATTCAGAGCTACAGTTCTGTGAAGGTTGCAGATGTCAGTCCAAAGGTCCAAAGTTCTAGTGCATCTGATTTGAAAGGGTCTGATGCTTTGTCTGACTCTAGATTTAAAAACCAAGCAAAAGATGATGGTAGTAGATTTAACACAAAGAGTAGGAACCCACATGTGGAAGATGCACAAATGCTGGCTTTAGGTGGAAGGATAATAGATGACATGAATGATGTTGACCTGAGCAGTTCAGCTCCAGAAAATTGTCAAGTGGTGATAACTGATTGTGGAAACGAAAAACCTGAACAGCTAGACCTTCCAAATTCCTGCTATGTTGGAGGACAGGTTTTCCAGGAAAATAAATTGCACTTAAATGATTGTGTTTCAGTATTTTCCCTGAAGAATCCCAGCAGAAAAATGTTCTTCAATTTTTTGATTCAAAAGAAACAGAAGGAACTGGTGCCTGAAGAAGTGAATCAGAAATTTCCAGAACCCTTTCCCTAATACCACATGGTATGCTAGATTTCAGTTCTAATTTCGCAGAAATAGTGGAGTCCCAGAATGTGGATAATACTGCATCAGTATCTGAAAACTGGTTGAGAGTTACATCCTGGACTCACAGTCAAGGAATGACTTTCAGCTTCATGTCAAGGCTGTTCTTTGAAATTGGATAGTGTGGGAGATTTCACGTCCAAGCTAAATGTGAAAGTGCAAGTTGAGGGTGGCTCTGTGATAAAAGACGTAATTGTGCCCAAAGATTTCGGAACCAAAGATTGCAACTCACCTGTTGAAAGTTGCTCTGGTGTCCCTCAGTTACAGACTGAAAATGACAAAAGCTATTGCCAGCAAGATACTTGAGTTGAGCAGAATAATTTGAAGAGTGATAAGTTGAGATATTAGTGTCTTACGAGAGTAGCAGGATATTAATCCCAGATCTTGTTTGAATGGAACCTTGCTTGCAAACAACGTTTCCTGCAAGGTATTTGGGGAAACTGTTCATGAGGTTGGTTTAGATGACTCTGATGCCTGTGGAATTGAATCAAAGAGTTCCAAAGTAGCAGCAGCAATGCATGATGGCAATCTTTGGTTCCGGTATGCATTCCTTAGGAACAAATGCATACCGGTTCTCCATTTCCTGGGCTAGAATTCTACCTGGTACGGTGCCCGCTTTGTGTTATCTTAATTTGGTTTATGGTTTAATCTTGGTTTTTTTTTGATTTGTTCTGTTGTTAATCTGGGCTTTTTACAACTTAGTTTAAATTGGAAATGATCTTCTTGAGCCATTCACAGATGGGATGCTCAGCTCAGTCAAGCCAAGAGGGATCATCTTTTATAATGAACTTATAGACCATCTTCTAAGCAAAGGTAGCTGTGCATACATGAGCACTCGATTTACTAATATTTACTAAGTAGTAAGTTAGTAGCCAAATTAAACAACGTTTAGTCATCTAAGTCTGCTACCATGCAGGAATAGAGCCATTTATGACACTTCACCACAATGACCTGCCCCAAGTACTAGAACAAAGAGACGGGGGTTGGCTCAGTCTGCTATTAAGGTACGAGTAAAACTATTTGCACAACATCTACTAATTAGATTCATATATCAGTGATCCGTAAATGTGGTTCAAATAGCAATATTCATTACGGCATTCTCTGCTATGATAAGTGATATAACTATGTCAAGCTTTTAGGAGTTCTCAAGAGTTCATTCTTTCACTGTTGGTGCAGGGAAGAGTTTGCACATTTTGCCTCCATATGCTTTGAGAGGAAAAGGCTGACTACTTAAAAATGGAAGTTGTATGAATAATAAGCTAAGCAATCAAGCTGGTTCTGTGGAGTCTTATTAATCTGGTCCTGATTAAGGCCGAAAGGCATTTGTATTTAGTCTCATATCTTTATTTACTCTCTAATTCAAAAGCAATTTAAAACCAAACGAACATAGGAGAAAAGTAAATGGCAGTCTAATCTCTGGCACAGTTTACTACAGAATAAAGGATGTATATTTCGCCTGTTCATGAAAAAATTACATCTAAACTTACAGCCAGTTACACTTGTACAATATATCTAATTAATCAGCCATGATTTCCTCCATAAAGGAATTGTAAGTCTGATCCATAAAGGAATTGGACCAGTAGCCGTTTTGGTCTAATGGTTGGCTGACCACATTATGAACATCATCGAGCTCTGCAAAGGTTGACAAAGGCTCTGCATCTTCTGCCAATAGTTCATCGACGTCGATAAATAAATATGGATCCTCATGATCATCGGCATTTATATTATATTGCCCTATTAATCCTGCTAGTTCATCGCTATTATACTCAAAATTATTCAGATTGCTGGTGGTTGCTTCCACTGGTCCGTCAAATTGATTAACACAAGGCTCTTCTTGGCTTTCAGCAATCTCAGGCAGTTGCTGCGAGTGTAACAATGGCGGTTCGGGGTCTAGTTCTGCAAGGAGTTGATCAATGTCGAAGCTTTTATAATTGGTGTCGATCAAATATTCTTGATCATAAGTGGTACTCTCGTTGGTCATCAACTGATTCCTCTCATCATTCATAATCTGCGGCCCCACTGAATTTTCAGTTTTCATCTCCTTTGTAGATTGATCTCTTTTCATCTTCTTGTTTGATTGATCTTGACACGAGCACTTCCTCTTTTTCCCAGACTTGTCCGTATTGCCCTTCCTTCTCAGCCGACAAATCACAACGTCAAAATCATAGCAATTACTACTTGTGCCGTTCTTGCAAGCCTTTTTGAAAAGGCTATATTCATCCAAAAGCCACACGGCGTGGTCCTCCGAAGTATTCCTGTTCTCGTACCGGAATTTCCGTTTTCTCCCTATAACATCAACATTTTGGTAGGTTTCGGTTTCGCTCCAAGTACCGCGGCCAGTCTTGCGTTGGATGCGCAAACCGTTTCTCTGGAGCTCCGAAACGAAGTACAAGTCTTGATCCGTAAGTTGATCTCCTCCGTAATCTCTCCAAATTTCTGAGGGTTCTCGTTTGTTGCCGAAGAGGTTGCACTTGTGGATAACCTTCTTGTATTGCGGCATCGAGGTCAGAGGCCTTTTCTCCACCACCATCTTGTAGAGAAAGGAGCCGATGATTTCTTGGTCCGTGGGGCGGAACCGGAAGCCGAGCAGCTGTGTCACGCCGGAATTAACCATGAGAAAGAGAGAGTTGGAGAAAAGACCTTCACCACACAATCTTGTCGAATAACACCGATTTACTGTAACGAATTCCCCGAAAACCTAAAAAGGGTTATCAAAGAATCGGGTTTCCCTTCGCTGGATGTGTTCATATGCACTGCTGATCCGTGCAAAGAACCACACAATCTTGATTTAACTTTTGCCCAAAGGAGGAAGACTGTTCTTGTTCAAGTGAAGTGCGCAAGAGTGTATATTTATAAGCTGAGAGTTACTTGGAAACAAAGAAACCCGTTGCGAGAGAGAGAGAGAGAGAGTTTTCCTAATTGAATTGAATTTTGGTCAAAGATTTGGTCAAACAACCACGAAGGAAGCCATTGCCTTTTACCTTTTTTTTTGTCAATCCATTGCCGTTGGATCCAACGGATGGGTGCTGCTCTTATGATACCTTAATTTTAATTTTTGGCGTTTTCGCATGCTCATTGCGTAGAGTTGCCCTTTATTAATTTATTTAATTACTTTGTTTTTTAAAAATAAAATTTTATTTTAACGTTGGTTGATATGGAAGTCCGAGGCTTAGATCGAATCCGCATCTAAACTCAAAAGTCGAGCAATCAAGTCCAAGTCAGAAGGTCCCAAATACAAGTTTTGATAACTGGCCTGCAATGTATGTGTGGTAAAATATTTTTTCAAAAATTGTGTGCAGGTATAAATAAAGTTGAAAGATACTTTAATACAATAGAATTTTCGGTGCTCAATTACTTTATGAAAGAAAGGTGTAGAATTTTGGGTGCATTTTTTATTATATTAATTATAAGATTTTCATATAAAATTTTCATAGTAATAGTAGATGTCACTTCTTTTATACAAAAACCAATAAATGATAATAAAATCTTTTTTCCCATTAGAAAAACTAAATGTTGTTTACATATTAATCACCACATTGGAATAAAATAACGACATCACAATGAACAACACCAAAAGTTTTTTTTTTTTTGGAATACAAGTGATAGTCTAAACTACAAGAGGGAGGAGGGTTTCTCTCACACACACACACACACACACACACACACACTATCATGATGCCATGTGGGTTCGAACCTGAGACCATTGATATGCAAGTTAAGTCCCTTTTTCATTGGACTAGATCCCATTGGCAACACCACAAGTTAAAAGATACATAAAGATGTGGATATATTGGTCTAGTTGTACAAGCTCTTTTATATTTGGTTTTTTTTTTGGAATTATACAAGCCCTTTTCAACTCACTGGTATTCTCAAAATTCAGATGCTGCTCTTCTGCTCACCCTGCTCGACGCAATTTTACATTGAGAGGAACTTCTTTGTAGGAATGAACCTTCTCAGCTGCTTTGCGCGGTGGTCTTCCGACTGAAGATCTCCTTGGGGCACAGTTTTCTTTCTCTTCTTTACTGGTACATGAAATCAATGGAGTGGGACCACTGTTATGCATTGGATTGTCTGGTGTGCGACTGACTGGAAATTTGACATCCTCTATCTCAAATAAGTTCTCTGTCTGGGACCTAAACCTAGCAGATTGCCTCCTCAAACACCGCCTGAACAAAGAAAAACATGCATTAATGGGAAGCGTATGTAATAACTTGGCACATATTACATATGACAAACATCATGCTATTACTTATTAAATGTCTGACACAATAATTAATACTCAAAGTGTTGGAGTTATGTGGCTCGATAGACCCCATGGATATGGAGATAATCCTACATAAGAAAGGTGATAATTCAGACCAAAAAAAGAAAAAGAAAATAAGGGTGATAAATCTACAACGTATATAAGTTGGGTGGTCCACTACTATTAACAAGACATTCTTTTGTGATAAAACCCTACGGTGGCTAAGTTGGGGACCATACCAGTGCTGGATCGAGATTAGTACCAATCCCATGTTGTTTCGTTGCTCTATAAGTAGTACCAGAGCCGACAGTTCGGTTAAGACACACATAATGTGATAATCTTTTAAGGTGGAAAAGAAACATGGTGAGAGAGGAGACTTAGTGGAACTCTTGATCCAATAGGTGGAGCAGCTTGAAGAAAAGTCCTAGGGGTGGTTAAAATTTCTAGCAAAAGTGCATCCTGAAATACATGATGCGGGACTATCTAGAGGGATGTAGACTGTAGTACAGATAGGCTAATGGCATTTTAAGTGTCCATATCTGAGTCCATATTCAGAAATACATGATCAGGACTATGTAGAGGGTTGTAAAATCAACATAACACCACTTGGGAACTAACCTTTTATTTTCAACCTTCTCTTTATTCTCAACCTTTGGGCATGCAGTAGATGGCCCCATTGCTGCAAGAATTCGCAAGCGCAAATGTTAACATGTTCGGTGCAACAGAAAGGGGAAGAGAAAGAAATATTCCAATGAGAAAATTAGATCATCAAAGTTTACATCGACTTCTTGTGACGCGTCTTTTGTTGTCATTACATCGTTCACCATCATTATCAGCTTTATGCAAAGCTGCCTCATCTACTTCCTTGAGCTGGAAAAATAAATGAGGTTAAGTGATAGAATGTAAGGGCTTTAACTACATACAAATTCATAACTGAATGGTTACCTGAGATACCTGAGACTCAGTATTTTGACATTTCTCTGCTTTTCCCTGTAATAGGAGGGGTATATTATAAAAGAATCAAACAAAAATATCATTGAATTGAAACCTCTGACTCAAGGCATGACTTCATATAGAATGACAACAGAATCAGATTTACTAAAGCAGAACAGGTCACTGATTGCTGCTCATCCATGCTGCTTAACATTTATGAGAAAAAAGGGAGATTTCAGGAGTGTACATGGAATGACAAGAATACATGCAGAGCAGGTGAAGAAGTTAGTGTAGTAGCTTCTAAATACTGGCATTTACTCTTCTCAACTTCATCATTGTATAGCATATACTATAACATTGTTGCTGGTTATTTTCAGTTTACTTTTCTTATTTCTTATTTTTTATTTTTATAGGAACTGTATGCACAGGAAGTTACTAGAAGACAAGGCCTTGTGCTAGAAGTGGAACAAAACTAACGCTTCTATTAAGTAAGCAAACAATTACTTAAGAAAAAAACAACAGTATAAAGTTATCCATAGAACAGATGCAGAAACACCAAAATAGGCACGGGACAGTTTCCAAGCCTGCTTTTGGGGAATGCTTATTGAAAAAGCAGGAAACAGAGATCAACTCTATCCATCATGATGAATTATAAAAAATTAAGCATTTGATAAATATTTCAGAATCAGAAGTGGGAGAATTTCTGATCAGTAATAGTTGCAGCTATTTTTGAGTGCCAACAAACAAGCCGGAGAAGAAAAGGAGTGAGAAGGAGTTATAAAAGTAAAGCTAAATTATATAAGTAAATTGCCATTAGTTATCCATAAAAACTCAAGAATATATAATTAAACAGCAGGAAAACTTGCAGTAACAGTTCCAGCAGATATATAGTGTACACAATGTATGTAAAAAATTGGTATTGGTTTTAGTTCCACTGAACTTCAAAGTCAAGATTTCGATTGCATTCCTAATTATATACAATGCTAGATAAGGGCTAACCTCTATTTCTAGATTCTTTGCTTTAAGTAAGGCATCCTTGCAAAGAAGTTCATGCTGTAGTGTTTTTACCTGGTATTGACAAAGAAAGAAGTCTAAGATATTATGAAAAGTAAGGACTTCACAAACATAGTACCTACATTCAGTTATTGACAAGCGTACCTTTTCTCTTCCTAAATTAAGCTCCTGTAGAATCAATAACAGAGAGTAATTAACAGAGACACTTAGGCACTAAGATTAATGTAGAAAAGAGTTTAGGCACTAAGATTAATGTGAAAAACACACCGCTAACATCCGGCTGTTTGATTGAGCAAGATTCAAATTTTGTTGCTGCAATTTCTGAAGACTAATCCGCAGTTTCTGCAACTCAGCTCCACTTAATTCAACGATTTTACTGTTCAAATATAATTAAAGGAAAACCCTTCTCCATCTCAGAAAAATTGAGCAACATGCCAAAACCAAGACATACCAAAGAAAAGGGAACAACTTTGAGTGTCATCGTTTCTATTTCAACCTACTCTAGTACTTCAATTTCTCGGGGCACAATCTCAGTAACCAAACAGAAAATAAAAATTGAAGAACAATAGAAGGATACTTCCTTTCCGAGACAAGTCTCATCAAAGTCATTCTTTCCTGTTTCAGAAGTTCACAACACAAAACCCACTAAGAAAATCTAACAAAAAATACGAAAAGAATAAAAATCGAAGAGGACCCAAGTGAGATTTTACCCTCATGAGCTGGTCAATGTAGTCCTTATCAGTAGGGCAATCTTCTGGGGGCTTTTCATCTTGGCTAATAGCTTTCGCAGTCTGCAAATTAGTGATGTCGGTTAGCTTCTTCCGCATCATGCTACCCAAAGAAGATCTCTTGGCCATTCTCTCACTTCTTACGTTTGAAACCCTAATTTAACTTCAACAATCACAATTGGGTTTTCAAGAAATGTGGTCCAAACATGAAAAACAGAGATTTCTGGGAGACAAAGCACTTCAATTGAAAAGAACCCAGATGGGAATTGGGAAATTAAACAAACAAGCAAGTGAATTGCAGAGGATTAAAAGACCGCAAAGTAGAGTTTTTTTAAAAGCACAAATGGCTGTACTTTTTGAAATCTGGGAGGGAAACTAATCAAATGGCTGAAGAGTAAAGATCGACTAAAACCCTAATTTTATTTCTTTTGTCGCTGTGAAGCAAAAAGTTGGGTTCTTCTGAGCAAACAGAGAGAGAGAAGAAAGGAAGGGAAAACAAAGAGGAAAGCAAAGCAAAGTGGCAAAGTATGTACGTTCTGAGCGAGGTTCGGTTTCACAACGGCTTTCCGAACCTGATTTTGAATATTACAACGAGCCTAGCCTTGTTTTTGGAATCAACTACCAATTTTTAGCTACATCAATACTTTATTTTTGGTTGAAAGCTAATCCCTAAGAGCACTTCCACCCACAAGGGCTAAGTCTAAGGCAAGGGCAAGCAAAGGCTGTCACTATTCATGTGAATAGTGTCAGCCTTTGCATTTGTGGTTCCACCCATGAGAGCTAAGTCTAAGGCAAATACTATTCATATGAGATATGAGGAGATGAATTTGTATATAGTTTTTGGTGTGGGAAGTAAAGAATATGCCTAGGTATTTATTTAAAAAAATTCTGGAATTTTTGGTATTTTTTTACTTTTTTTTTCTATTTTTTCTATTTTTTTGGGGTTGCTGACGTCATTATGACGTCAGCATTGCATCAGTTTGCCCTGGCAGCAGCTCGGGCTGAATTTGCCCTTGGGCCTGCTCGGGCTGGTGGAACCCACCATGAAACCAGGCTGCATCTGCTACGCTGGAGGTGTCTTGGGCTCGCCAGGGCAGCCTTTCCCCCAGTTTGGGTATGGCGCTGGAGATGCTCTAATAGTTGTAGTTAAAAATAAAAATAAACAATTAAGTGTGATTTTAGACCACACTGTGTCACTGTCATCCTGTCCAGTGTCTCATTTTAATTTTAATAGATGAGGTGATGGCTGTCATATTTTTAAGTAGATTTTTCACATCTCTTGAGAGACATCCCTACTAAAACTTATGAAATCTTGATTAAAGGGCGAAAGGCATTTGTATTTAGTCTCATATCTTTTAAAACTAACCCAATTAAAATTGAATGACATTTTTCCTCTCTAATTCAAAAGCAATTTAAAACTAGGTAGGGAAGAAGCCATTGTTGCTCTGCATTTGTCTCCAATTACATAATACATAACCAATATATCCATTTCAGAGAAACTTAGCGAGGGAGGAAAGAACCCCCAATATGCTTCAAAACGTCCTGCTTCAGGATCCTGACTGACTCAATACACTCCAGTTGTTAGCAATTCATAATGTATCAGGGCACTTTCTTCCTGATTCTTGACCATTCATTTGAGTGAAATTATTTCCTCTCTTTTGTGTTTTTGTAAAACACTTAAAAAAGAAGATGAAGAAATGGTGACGTGCAGCCGCCTTTTTTTGTCTATGCAGCTTACAATTGCTAGTTCCTGCGTGGCTGTGTTCATCACAAGCACAACCAACCAGGCAGTTTACAAAGTATCGATCGTATGGGCCTGGCACCAGCCTTGTCATGTTTCGTTCTTTGGGTAGGAGAGTACTACTAATGAGTTGAGTTTTGCCCATCCATTTGCGCCGCAGTCCACCAACCTGTTCAAAACGTAGTACAATTGGTTGGTTATGCAAGGCAGTAGCGGCAAACAAAATGGAAAAAGAAGTAGCAAAACAATTTAGCACCACACAATTTAGTTTTGGGAGAGTACTTAAAAATAACAGCACTCAAATCATGCACAATATTAAATTAGTACTAATTAAGTTACTAACATCAGTTTGCAAGTTTTAAGATATTACGCAAGTGAAGTGATGATGTTGGAAACGGGGAAGGGGTTTATTGCCAAAAAAAGGAGGAGGAACAAGGAGGCACAAACAAAGCCCAACTAGTTACGTGACAGAAGTTAAAAGCTAGGGAAGATCTAGAGTGATCTCAGACATCTGACCAGAACGAGCAGAAGAATTCTAACAACACCAGATTTTAACAAAGTATTTTGGATCAACTTCCCCACACAGCAGACTAGTAAGAAACCATGAGATCCGCCTGCCTATCACTACAACAAAGTGGCTTAGCATGCAGTTTGAAAACGCAAACTATAAACTTTACCCAAAAGAAAAAGAAAAAGAAAACAGATAACACTAGAAAAATAAACAAGGAACAAAGCTTGAAACCTTAATTAAAGAGAAAGCAAGCAGTGGCGGAGCTGATCTTCTACACTAGGATCGAGTGGCGGCCTATATATACTGGGAAGGGAAGGAGAGAAGGTTCCTTTTAATGAAAATTATAAGAAGACGAACTCTTGTATATACAGACACCAAGGAAAATAAATAAAAAAGCTAAATTTTGCTTGGTGTCTATATATACAAGATCTGAAATTTTTGGGCTCATCTTCTCATCCAACAGACACCCATTGCCATTAGAAATGAAATCAATAGTCTCCCTGAGTTCGGCATACTAGGATAGGAAGAACTCAGACATTATCAATGATACTGAAGAAAGATTAGGAGACAATGAGAAATTGCAGCCAAACATAAAGGGCCAGTGAAACTAACCCAATAATATCATATCCAAGCTTTTGTTGAGCTTTACAAGATTCTTGTGCTGGAGTTTGGAGATCAACAGAATCTCATTCTTCAATTCTTCGATGCCTTGCCCTGAGAGCTACTAGATAGTCATTTTCGGAAAATCGGCCTAGGCGGGCGCCCAGGAGCTAGGCGGCAGCCTAGGCGGGACATTTATTTTTATTTTTTATTTTTATAGATATTGTTTTTCATGGACTTAGATTTCAACTACCAAAGACTCGGTGATGGTGGTGACCAAGGACGAGTACGAAAAATGCCATTCTGCGCATCCCATCTTCTTCTCCAACAATGGTGTGACCGTGTTCACATTGGACCGGCCTGGTTTGTTCTATTTCATTAGTGGGGTTTCCGGGCACTGCGAGAGAGGCCAGAAGATGATCATCAAGGTCTTGGAACCAGCAAGCCCACCTCAATCTGCTGACCAGAACGAGCAGAAGAATGATGCTGCAGTTGCAATGGCCGCCATCACTTCTGCAACTCTCATGTCCTGCATTATGTCATTTGTGGGGGTCCTTTTCTTCTAATTGCAGTGATCAGCGATGGTTACTATATTTTTCTTGTGGTTTGTTTCAGCACGGATACTCCGATTTAGATCCGAATCCCGTGTCGGATATGCTAATGATACGATGAGTCGTCAACGGATACAGTCTTTGATGCACGGACAACTCGTTTTAGAGGTTTTAAGAGGGAAAATAAAGAGGAGATAAGCTTTAATTGTTGCTGGTTGAAAAATTCGAAGAGTTTGCCAGCCGTAGGTCTACTTTGCACGATCATACTCCAACACTTCTTCTACTACTGTATCTTTATCTTAGTTTTTTGTTATAAATGTTTTGATAACTATATATTAAATTATTAATATATATTTTTAATTGCCATATCATATCATAGTTTTTAGTTTTTAGAGATTTTTTGTATTACTGTATTCGTATCCGCTTTATGGGTGAGTTGAAATTAAAAGAATGTAGAACTGGAACTGATTGAGATCATGAAAATAAATTTGTTTCAAGTATGATATTTCTCTATTGAATTATTATTATTTTATTATTTTATCATTTTTTTGGGTACAGATTTGTTTTAACTCTTGAACATATTATTTGCATCCATCTTAGTACAAACCATAAATGAGATAACTCTCGGAAGCTAGGGTTATTGGTTCGAGACTTGGATTTAGGGTTTGGAATACTAAAATAATTTTCTATCATTTTTAATTAGTTGAAACCATATTTTGAAACCACTAGCTAGAACTCTGTCCCTCTTCCTATTTTCACTGGAGAAAACTATGACTTCTAGAGTATTAAAATGAAGACCTATTTTATGTCTCAATATTTATGGGACACAATTGATGGTGGCTTCAATAATCTAGAAAATCCAACCGTGGAACAGTTGAGGCAACTAAAGAAGAATCAACAAAAGGATGCAAAGGCCTTATTTGTAGGTAAGATTCCAGTTCTCACCATGTTCGATCGGAATACATAAGCTTTAGTGTACCATCTGAAGAGATGTCCATATATCAGAGTTTTGTCAAATACATAATAAGAGATACCCGAAATACATGGTCACGGGTAATAACTCTGGAAAAATAAAAACTCTAAATGGGACAATAGATACTCGAGTAATGACCTAATAGTAATGGATAATGCTCTAAACTACTCTTGTCAATAAACAAAAATTGGGGAAAAACAATTATAAAAAAAAGAAGAAAAAAGCGGAGTATCTATTTAAGGAGTATAGCTGGGCGGCTATACTATTTATAAAAAAGAATTAAAAAAAGGACCCCAGTAAAGTCGCATGGCTATACTTTTTTTATATAAAAAATAATTCCGAGTATAGGGGCACCCGCCTAGCAGGAATAAGGTACCAAGCTAGTATAATAGCTCCACTGCACTAGATGGTTGGACCTGTTAAGGAACTGTGTTCAATTTTGTTATCATATCTGTTTAGTCTATTCTTGTATATTCCTATTGCTTGTATGTCATGTTATATACTTCAGGAATGGAGAGCACACGTTGCCTAGCTCATTTGTCTATCTGCTTATGCCACACAGTGTCATATTCTACAGAAACAGCTAATCTACACAACACAGTGTCATATTCTACAGAAACAGCTAATCTACATGAATCAAGCAACAACTTGCAGAAGTAATAACCCCTAGCCAACATATGAACCACAAAAGGATAATGTAATGTTTCATTCAACAACAAAGAATCATACGTCGTATTTGTTTCAAGAATCAAACTAAAACCCCAAAAGTGTGTACTTTGAAACCAGAATATAAGACAAACCCAAATCAGCAAGATGGAAGATCATCTCCGGCACAAGGAACCTTTCATTTGTCAAGTCAAACTCCTTCCCAAAAACAACAAACACCAATCAGAAGTAGAAAACAAACACAACCAGTTAATGGTCAACACTGAACAGTGGCAGTCGTGTAAATTGAGTAACAACTAATAACCAAAGTGTACTTCCAAGTGGTCATTTTAATAAGCCAACAAAAAAAACTAAAAAATAATAATAAGAGAATGCAACAGTCAGTAAGCCAGATGGCGTTGCAGAGTGAAGACAAAGTGATAGCAAAAACCAATGAACGTCAGCGAAAAAACAAAAAATTATTGAATGCTTGTCCCGATCGAAAATGGCGGTCTCTGAGCAGTGTGACAGTAAAATTGATATTTTATTTAAGGAAAAATATTTTAATCAATAATTTTTTTTTAATGAATATTTTAATCAATAATTGGATGAGAGTGAAGAGTGATGAAACGCTCTTCCTTCTTTAAACAGACTTTCAAGGGAACCAAACCCAACTTGGAAAGCCGTGTTCTTTACTTCCCAGAAAAATAAAAGCCGTGTCATTTGCAAAAGGTTTCTTATTTCCTTTTTTGGGTCATACTCATACATACTGTTCTTTGCAAAGCTTGAACCGCTCAGTTTTGGGTTTTTCTGTTTGGCTTCAAAGGAAATTCAGCCTCAAGTTTTGTACTTTCCAGTACTCAGGTCAGTCGTGATCTTTCATTTTTCGGGAACCAAACAAGAATAGCATTTCTTGTTGCCAATGCCTCCAGAATGCTAATGTTTCTCAGTCACTCTGGTAAGGCTTCGATTCATAAACTAGACTAGAATGCCTGCCAATGTAACTGAAATTGCTAGGCGGGTCTAGGCGGCGTTAGGCGAGTCTGGGTGCCAGGGTGGGTCTGGTTCTTTTCTTTCGTTCTTTAAGCCTACTGCCTAGCGATTTTTCAAACTTATGCACTGGGCGCTGGGCGGTCGGGTTCTTTTCTTTTATTCTTTTAAAGGGTAATACCGTTGTGTGCTATTAGCTTCCTGCAATATCAATCTTTGAAGACTTGAGTATGCTTTAAACAACTGAGGTCAGGCAATTAATCTAGTTTTCATGAGAAAACATCATGAGCCCATCTAAGTGAACTGAATGATTAATTATAATATTTAATCTTTTTCACCTCCTTCCCTTTCTAATTACTAGTGTTTATCAGAAGTATGACTTACTGTAACTGTTTTGCATTTCTCAAATCTCAATCTAGTCATCTTCATTGTTAGATTGGTGATGTTGCTTCATCTTGATGTAGGTTGACACTACCATTACACGGTTTACAATTTGCTTGGAGATTGGCAATTTCTTGTTGGAGAAGTTCTGTCGTGTACGTTAGATGTGCTCATCTTCGAATTTGTAGGTAAAAGAAGTATATTTCAATTTTGCAAACTGATGGATTCGTATTCCATAGAGTCTATGAATAGTTTCTTTTAGTTTTAGTTCAGATTGGATTCTGTTTTACTCAATGCAAATAATTCATTGCTTTTAATTACAACTCATTGTTTCATTCTTTTAGGTTCTCATGGTTGAGCTTCATTTTTGCATTTGTCAGCCTGGCATCTCGAGTACAGAAAACATTGCAAGGTTCATCTAACGATATTGGATGGTTGCCGCGCTCCCGGCATGCCTGGTGTGGAGGATGGTACAGCAAGATTCTTGGAATTGCTTGCAGGAATAAGGTACCAGGCTAATATAATAGCTCCACTGCACTAGATGATTGGACCTGTTAAGGAACTGTGTTCAATTTTGTTATCATATCTGTTTAATCTATTCTTGTATATTCCTATTGGTTGTATGTCATGCTGTATACTTCAGGAATGGGGAGCACACATTGTCTAGCTCTTTTGTCTATCTGCTTATTCCGGGTAAAGAAAATTTATTTTTCTCTTTGGACTTTGTTCTTCTCCCCCGTTCAATTGACATTTAGCGTTGTGGCACCTATAGTAATGGGAACTTTGATTTTCCAGGCCTCTATGGCAATCACGGCCCCATATACTTTGTTGGAACAAAGAAATTCTTTTCGAAGATAGGTCTAGCTCGTCATATTACAAAAATTCACAGTGAGGTAATGAGTCATTACTCTTTGATCATTGCTGACTGAGTTTTGGGAAATTTGTCTTCCCTTTTCATATGTTTTCTTGTATGAAGGCATCTATTGAGCACAATGCATGGGAACTCAAGCAATACGTTGAGGAGCTTTACTGGGGATCTGGTAAGAGTATGATGCTGCTGGGCAAAGCAAGGAAGGTGAGAAGCCTGTATTCCAACAAAGTATAATGCCGACAAAGCTTATGCATGATACAGTCATGGCTTTTTTCTTTCCTTCTTTATTTTAGCTCGCGCCTCTTGTTCCATTACACATGGATTGAGTTTGGGGCAAAATCTTTATGAAATACAGTTACCTAACAATCACGTTTATTCTACAATACCAAAAAGGAGGAATATTTTATGTCATATTAACCTTTTTCTCGTGAACTTAAGCAGAAGAAAAATCCCTTTCTCATGAAACTAAAATGTACATAAATGTTGGATGAAAAACCGTATCATGTCTAGTTCCCAACTATCTGTTTAAATTCGTTTTCACAACATAAATGTTACTGCATCTGTCTCATGAGAATGCAATGCATTTTCACAACACCCAATGCTACTTCACCTTTTACATTCTATAAAAATTTTGTATTGTACATAAACCTGAAAATATTGGAGGAAACTAAAACATCATTCTTCATTAGTAATTTGTCACATTTTTTTCCAGGTACATGTGCCATTTTCTTCTTTGAAGCCTATATTTCGAGCAAGAACTGTATCAGATGCACCACCTTTTGACCCTAGCAATATTGTGTCATTGCAGCCACATTTCTGCAGCCACTTTCTTTTAGTCTATTCTTTCACTTCATTTTCTTCTATGTTTATTGAAGGGATTCAAAATTATGGTAGCTCATGTTTAGCAAGTTTGAATTTGATGGGAAACTGAATCCTACTTTTATGGAAGGGGCATTTAAGCTCCCATTATCAAGCATACGAGCATATCTAAAAGAGCCTATTACTCCCAGGTTTCACATTCTTTTCATTTTGTTGGATTATCTTCTTATGACTAAACATAATTGATCTGCTAGGTGCACTTTCTGTTTTAGTCTTTAAAGAATCTCTTTGCTTGTGTTCCGTGTAGGTTCGTATCATACACTTCGGTTCTGCAGGAGTTACCCGACCTGACAGGCCTGGACTTGATCTAAGTAAACAACCTCCTACTGTTCGCTTAAACAAGGAATTGGATTTTATACTGACATTCAAGTTGAAGGTTTCATACTAATTCAATGCAAGCTGTTTGATATTTTTATATATAATCAGTGTATCAAAATACCACTTCTTATTAGCTCTTTTCTGTTCTTTTTCTTTTTCAGGGTCAGATTTGGCTCTTTCAATTTTGTACATTGATAAGTTTTGGAGCAGGAGGAGGATTTAGTACGGGAAAGTGGAATACCATATACAATTGTGAGGCCTTGTGCATTAACTGAGGAGCCTACCAGAGCAGATCTCATTTTTGACCAAGGAGACAATATAACGGTATATAATCAAATAGAAGATCACTATTCTCTCTTTGTTGTATGCCTGTGATGACATGTATTGCTCTTTCTTTCCCTTATAATATCTGAATGTTATGATTTATAGTATTTATATATATATATATATATATATATATATATGCAGGGTAAGATATCAAGAGAGGAGGTTGCTCAGATTTGTGTTGCTGTGTTGGAAAGCCCCTATGCATCTGGCAAGACATTTGAGGTCACGGCCCGACTTATGGCCCGACATATATATATATATATATATATATGTATATATTAATTCTCTCTCTCTCACTCTCACACACACACACATTGCGGGTGTATATACTCGTAGCAGATGAAAAGCAGAGGCTTCTATAGGAACATACATATGAGACCAGCAAGATTATAAAGTTCTGTACGACAAATCTACATGACTTAAAATGTTTCACATGAGATGATAGGTTCTCACTTTCAAAAGGCTATAGCCTTGATCACGATGAGGTCCAAACCTCCTGATTATGTATAGAGGATTGTATTTTTTTTTTTCAATTCAGCTGTATAATATTATTTTCTTTTCTATGTATGAGTAGCTTATATAATGTTACGTTTTTAATGATTTTAAAAATATACATACATAAATTATTGTACATGTGTTTGGCCTTGAATGTTAAGTTAAAGACATTGGCAGAATCATGGCTTGTAACCATTTCTATGGTAGGTCAATTTTTCATTAAGACATTAGCCATAGCAATCAAGGCTCACGACCAATAGAGCAAGTACTCCGGCATTAAGTATACAAGTTCAATGTAAACCAAGAGTAATTTGACCCAATTAGTGCGCGAGATTCATTTTGGAATGAAAAGTGGTAAATCAAAGTGGTTGACAATAAAGAAACAGCTAAAAGTAGTGTTCTTAAAGTAAATTATTAATCAAAGTTAAAAGAAAAATAGAAAAACTGAGGTTTAAACATATAAAACCACAACCGATCACCAGCAAAACCTTCACAAAATTAAGGTATCACCCTCAACACTATGCTTGGCCTTGTTGTGTGACTCAAGTTCAGACCTGGAAACATCAACATAACACAGACATTAAAAAAAAACATGGAAAAAATAGAAAAAATATTTTTAGAACTTTAACTTGCTCACCACCACCACCAGCCTTTTGTGCTGATTGCTTGGGCTAATCACCTAAAGTAGCAGTCTTACCACCATCATCGTCGTCTCCACCATCACATTTCTACAATCACATAGGCAATTTATAAATGTGTGATTAGTACCAACACCTAGTCAAACTATTGAAGCTTCTCTTGCATGAAGTTCAAGGACAGAAACAGAAAGACTATATTGGTTAAAAGCAAGAGAGTCTAAAACCAACAGCTTTTTGTAAAGGACTGAGGCAAGCAACACCTAAGTAAACCACAATTCTAGAGAAATGCATTTTAGAAAAGCATTCTCCACTTACGGATAAATGAAATGATTTTAATGTGAATCGTCAAATGCAACCTGTGATAAGTTACATTGATCTGTTTTGGCCTGGCTACTTGTGATAAGTTACTTCTGTTAGTCACTAGTTCATTGCTTATAGCCTTAAAGGCACAGTGACATGCACAGATATAGACTCGCACATTCATACCTGGGAATCAGAGCCCGACGATACAAGCACATTAAGAGCATGAGAAAAGGCAAGGCCTGTTATGCATTTTTTATCTGCTGCACATTATCATCGAGATTCAACCCACAACCTTCTGAGTGTTTGCTAGATTCTGTGTCCCTTGAAAGATATATACGTGCCAATCCAAAATCTGAAATTTTTGGGCTCATCTTCTCATCCAACAGAATATTACTTACCTTCAAATAGGAATCATGGTGGAGATAAACAAGTCCTCTAGCAACAACCTTGAATAATATTGAAGCGTTTAGCCCAATCAAACACTGCTCTTCTCATTGGATCTAATCAATACACCCATTGCCCTTAGAAATGAAATCAATAGTCCCCCTGAGTTCGGCATACTAGAATAGGAAGAGCTCAGACAGTATCAATGATACTGAAGATCAGACATTATTAATGATACTGAAGAAAGATTAGGTGACAACGAGAAATTGCAGCCAAACATAAACGGCCAGTGAAACTAACCCAATAATATCATATCCAAGCTTTTGTTGAGCTTTACAAGATTCTTGTGCTGGAGTTTGGAAGAATCTCATTCTTCAACTCGTCGATGCCTTGCCCTGAGCTACTACTGGATAGTCATTTTCGAAAAATCGGCCTAGGCGGTGGGCGCCCAAGAGCTAGGCGGGCAACTAGGAGCTAGGCGGTCGCCTAGGCCCTAGGCGGCATCCTAGGCGGGTCTTTTTTTTATAGATGTTTCTTATTTCATGGACTCATTCTTCAACTCTTCGATGGCTTGCCCTGAGCTACTAGATAGTCATTTTTCGAAAAATCGGCCTAGGCGGTGGGCGCCCAGGAGCTAGGCGGGTCTTGTTTTTTTTTTGGTAGATATTGTTTTTCATGGACTTAGATTTCAACTACCAAACACTCGGTGATGGTGGTGACCAAGGACGAGTACGAAAAATGCCATTCTGCTCATCCCATCTTCTTCTCCAACAATGGTGTGACGGTGTTCACATTGGACCGGCCTGGTTTGTTCTATTTCATTACTGGGGCTTCTGGGCACTGCGAGAGAGGCCAGAAGATCATCAAGGTCTTGGAACCAGCAAGCCCACTCAATCTGCTGACCAGAACGAGCAGAAGAATGATGCTGCAGTTGCAATGGCCGCCATCTCTTCTGCAACTATCATGTCCTGCATTATTTCATTTGTGGGAGTCCTTTTCTTCTAATTGCAGTGATCAGTGATGGTTACTATATTTTTCTTTTGGTTTGTTTCATCACATATACTCCGATTTAGGTCCGAATTCCGTATTGGATATGCTACTATACGCGTCGGATACGTATCGGAGTCAACGGATACAGTCTTTGATGCACGGACAACTCGTTTTAGAGGTTTTAAGAGGGAAAATAAAGAGGAGATAAGCTTTAATTGTTGCTGGTTGAAAAATTCGAAGAGTTTGCCAGCCGTAGGTCTACTGTGCACGATCATACTCCAACACTTCTTCTTCTACTGTATCTCTGTCTTAGTTTTATGTTATAAATATTTTGATAACTATATATTTTTAATTGCCGTATCATATCCTAGTTTTTAGAGATTTTTCATATTGCCTTTCGTATTATATTGCCGTATCCGTATCCCCTTTATAGGTGAGTTGAAATTAAAAGGAGTGTAGGACTGGAACTGATTGAGATTATGAAAATAAATTTGTTTCAAATATGATATTTCTCTATTGAATTATTATTATTTTATTATTTTATCATTTTTTGGGTACGGATTTGTTTTAACTCTTGAACATATTATTTGCATCCATCTTACAAACCATAAATGAGATAACTCTCGGAAGCTAGGATTATTGGTTCAAGACTTGGATTTAGGGTTTGGAATACTAAAATAATTTTCTATCATTTTTAAATAGTTGAAATCATATTTTGAAACCACTAGCCAGAACTCTATCCCTCTTCCTATTTTCATTGGAGAAAACTATGACTTCTAGAGTATTAAAATGAAGACCTATTTTATATCTCAAGATTTATGGGACACAGTTGATGGTGGTTTTAATAATCCAAAAAATCCAACCGTGGAACAGTTGAGGCAACTAAAGAAGGATCAACAGAAGGATGCAAATGCCTTATATGCCATGCAACAAGCCATGCATGATACGATTTTTCCAAGGATCATGGGAGCCACAACTACAAAGGAAGCATGGAATACCTTAAAGGAGGAATTTTATGGCAATGCCAGGATACGTGAACTTATATTATTCTTATTCAATAATATGTAAGAATTATTTGTATTATATGTGAACTTTGTGTGTCTTAATGAAAATTTTGTAAAAAAATATATGTATTAAGCATTAGAAATACGTACATATATATACAATACGACTATTGTATATTTACTTTTTAAAAAACAAAAGACATATACAGAACATGAATTTATTATTAAAAAATACATACGTACGTATGTACACACACATATATTGCATGATTTCAACTTGGCGACCCGAATTAGCTGACGGTGCCTTGAAGATTGGCTTGTCTTCTCAAAGTTGATTAGACAAGAGCCAATTCTCTGTCAACTTGTATGTACGTCTTGAAAAAATCACAGCTTTTGCCTTTGACATCGATTGTGATGTTGAAATAAAAAAAATTCGGCCAAATAAATCTTATCATTTATTTCAAATAAAAATTAAATGATAAAGTCAAATCAATATGGATTTCCAAAATTTTTGGGATATCTGTAATGTTTCAAAATGGTAAGGCTAAAGCTGATAGGTATTCTATCATCTTCATTTTTTTTTCTTTTCTATTTTGGGCATGGCATGCCACAAATCCATGGATGAGATATACTCTGAAATTATTTGGATGCAAATTCATGAGTGTGCAACCCCGAAATTATTTGGATGTAAAAATCTATATGGATGAGAAACCCAGAACCTCTGCAGATAAAAAATCTGAAAAATGGGTTCATATATGCAAATAAAAAAAAAGGTTATACCTCTAACTTTGGTGAATCTGATCAACTCTCTCCCTCTCTGTCAAAAACAAAAGCACACTAATTTTTTCTGTGTCGGGACAGATGGAATAGACAAAGAAAAAAGGAGGAAAGTGGCGTACAGCCACTTTGTTTGAGATTTGAAGAAAAAAGACAGCCACGTTTTAATGGCGTTGCCTGGTGTTGTTGGCATACAGAAGCGATAAACCAAAAAAAAGCAGCAAATTAAAAGGATTGGAATTAATGGTTTGTGCTGGTGGCATATTAAAACAATAAACAAAAGAAGGCTTGAAGGGGCCACGTCGCACAGATTGGAATTTGCTTTGAAGCAAAACAAAACCATGCATGGTTGCTGGTGTGTGAATGGGCAGTAAGCAAGTAGCTTGCGGTACTGACAGCCTGTTTGTTTTATTCTTATGCCTGCGTAAGTTTTGTACCAATTGTGGCTTTGTGTAGTCATTTAGAGGCTGAAGAGATACAATGTTTGCTCTCAATTTGGACTGATCTCAAGTGTTCCAGATAAGTATGGGAGTGCAAGGTCTGATTTTACTTGGAAACAAACTCTAGGAAGAGTTGAATAGCTATCAGGTTGCTTCAATCAGCTGCTGGACCAAAGCTTTTCGTAGGCTCCTTGCTCGTGGGCTAATTGACAACAAATATTAAAGGCCCGAAATAGATTAATGGGCTATCAAAATAATTGCCTATTAATTCTCAAAAGTCCATAATATTTAATGGGTGGACTAAATAAACATTCATTAAATTTACAGAGGCCCAAATTGCCTATAATATAGTTCATGGATCTTTTTTTCAAAACATCCTCATAGCCATATTTGGGCCCAAGTGCAAATGTCAATTTTAGAAAATTAGTGGGTTAATTAATCAAAATTGCTCATTATTTTTCTTGGACATTGACAAAAAGAAAAATGGTACAAAACCATCCAATTTTCCCCATGGATCATCTACCCATGCAATTTTCATTGAGATTAAATTTAAATCTCTCAAACAGGAATTCTCAATTAATGGGCTACTCTCACCCATTAATTTCCATATTTTCTCATGAGTCATCTACTATTGAAAATTCTAATGAGATTAAATTCAAATCTCTCAAATACAAATTCTAAATTATTGGGCTATACTTACCCATTAATTTCCAATTTTTCCCATAGGTCATCTACCTATGAAAATCTCCAAATTGTCTCAAAGACACAAATTTTCAATTAGTGGGCCACACTTACCCATTAATTTCAAGATTTTGGAACTACGTCGGTTTGATCCCATTAAGGGTACGTAGGCAGTCTAGCATCTCAATAGACTCAACCGCAACCAAATTTGAATAACTGGTTACATCAATCAAATTACCACAAATTAAATATCTACCTTTACACAAATCAATTCCGAACTACATTGGTTTGATCCCTTTGAAAGGGTACGTAGGCAATCTAGAGATTCAATCTAGATGCAACCTTCTCAAACACATTTCCACATCGAATCCCTGGTCTATTAAGCTAAATTCACTTAAACACTCCTCAATCAAATTCATTCAAATTCCTCCTTTCGTGATGAGTCATTTATTCATTGCAAATCTTTGAACTACGAGTGGCTTGATTCCTGCAAGGGATACATAGGCACCATGAGGTTGGACTTGGGAGCAGCGGCAAAATCAAACACACGTTCTGTTTCTTTATGATGGAATCAATGGGTCTCGAAGTAAGGGAATGTAATTAAGAGACTTGCGTCTCGAATGGGTCGAACCTAAAATAATAAAACCCCAATTATTTAATTAGTGGTGGTGAAATTATGTTGGGAGGATCACATTTTCCTTCAACATAATTTTTGGCATGCCCAATATGACTCATTTACCTTTTCATCTCCAATAATAAAGTGACTAATGTTCTTACTTGTGTTTGCCACAGGTTAACAAAACCAAATACAATTGCACCACAAGTAACAATTTTCTTCCACAAGATTGAAACTACCAGGAATGCATGCACCAAACGAGTAGGGTTCAGAAAGACTTTCATTGTTGGTTAGAGCCTTATCAAGTGCGCCGTTCCAAAACCCATTTAGAAGGTCAAGCCTCAGGTCACTCCTAAGGTCGTCAAGACCCAACTGAAGAAAACACCATCCAAGAATGCTCCTGAAATGCAAGAAAGAGAGCTGCACGTGCTTTGAGGAAGAAAGAAGCAAAGAGGCAGTCTGTTGAGGCAATTTTGTTCGAGCTCTCTGGGACAAGTTCAATGGTGACAGCAAGCGAGAACACCTCAAGCACCTTGACTGTGCCTACTCCCAAGAAGAGTAATACCACCCGATTGGTCCAAACCATGATTGGATCAATCCCGGTCAACATATATCCTACAGATTTTGTTCTGATGACTTCCACTAGTGAAACTAGTGAGGAAAATCAAAAGGATAACTTTGTGGAGAACGCTAAGGTCCAAGGGGCCAAACCTCCATCAAGCCCAAAAGCCTATGCTGTGGAATCCACATCACAAGAGGTTTACCCATGCTCTTTTAAGGGTAAAAGCAAAGTCATCATCATGAAAAAGAAGCTCGTGCAAAAGGTGAAGACAACTGATGTTTTAAGGGATCAAATTCCATATCACAGGGGGCAGTCCCGAAACCTCAAGATCAGTTGAGGACCTACATAGGTCCATTGACCTGTTCCAAATCCTGAGACATCATATGGATGATCATTCCCGAGCTTTCCACTCTAAACTCAACCTGCTTGGTCGATTATTTGCTATGGAATCCTCTTTACGATGATCTCGTACTTCAAACTCAAGAGAATGATGACATAGTATCTCAAGGGACCAAACTTCATGATGGAGTGGAAAACATGCAAGTCATGATGACTGGTACTTCTAATACTGAGGACCAATTACCTTTAATCCAAGAAATGATGCAGGACTTGCGAAGGGAAATGCAGTAGAAGTTAGCAGAGAAAGATGTGGAAATAGCGTTACTATTTGCTCGGTTAAAAGAAAAAGCCATCATAGGAGAGCAAGACAGGGGCAAAACAAATGAATCGGTGACCTATGAACAAAAAAAGAAAGAGGAAAAAGGAGAGAGCTCTACGAGCACAATTTCCCCAAACGGCATAAAGGCATTAATTGTTGAGGGGATTCGTGAGTTCCAAATGTCCATAGCACCTCCTGTTCAAGGGTATCGAAAACCCTTCCTTTCTCACTATGATGTCATCCCATTCCCGAAGGGTTATCAACGACCCATATTCGATAAGTTTGATGGCATAAATAGCTCACCTCATGAACATCTGACACATTTTTATTCAGCATGTGGTGAGACATCTCAGTCAGACGCTCTCCAAGTGCGTCAATTTGTCCAATTCCTAAAAGGATAAGCTTTCACTTGGTATACACAACTACCGCTAGGTTCTATCCTGATATGGGAGGACATGCAAAGACCATCCTTTGAACAATTTGTAAGTTCTACGAAGAAGGTCTCGATCATGGACCTAGCTCAAACTACCTAAAAGCCAGGGGAAAGTGCTAATGACTTCATAATGAGATGGAGGAGCCTCAATCTTCAATGCCCGGAGAAAATTACTGAGCAATAAGCAATGCAAATGTGCTACAACAACCTCATGCCAGACACTGTGACTTTTGTTGCCACTGCTGAACCCCAATCATTTGAGGCTTTGGTGTCAAATGTGAGCAATGTTGAAAGACAAATTGCTCGCCAAAAGTCCACAACCCAAAAAATTCAATTTGGGGAGAAGAAAAATGACAAGAAGTCTGCAAAGGGAGAGTCATTGGCCACTTTTATCAAAATAGGAAAGAAGAACGACAAAGGCCAAAGCAAAGACCCACACAAAAGGCTCACTCTTAAGGAGCGCAAAGAGATCAAATATTATTTTGACAATGAGGATGTAGAAGAAATCTTTGACCAACTTCTTGCCTCTAATGCTATTACCCTGCCAAAATCAAAGCGTCCTGCTGAGGCTAACAAGACAAACGACCCTAGAATATTGTCGGTATCATCGTCTCGTCAGTCATATGCTCAAGGATTGTTATATATTAAAGGACAAAATCCAAGAACTTCTTAACAATGACGGTTTGGAGATAGACTCCTCTTCCCCTCTCTCTGTGCAGCGCGTGCAGAGCTCTATACCTGCGGAGGCTCAAATACTCTCCCGGAGGTAAAGCTCACAATCCCAAAATGCAAGAGGGTTGAAGAAGCATTTTAAGAGGCTCAGTGCCCCGAAGCATTACTTGACAAACTTGGCGGTGGCTTTGGAAAGTCATATAACATTATAAAATTGCCCTTTGTGGGTGAAAGAAAATCATAACTTTGAGGGTGAAAAAGAAGTAGACTTTGGAAAGAAATTAAAAACTAGGAGGGATGCAACCATTAATTCACTTGCTGAAACATGATGTTGTGTGGAAAGACAATCATGTTGTGCCTAAGTATTGCGAAATCATTCGGGACATTATTAAGCTGTATGTCGAGTGGGAAAGCCGCATGCCTAATTGCTTTTTGGATATTCAACACATCAACATCATTGATGATCGATTGGACAATAATGTAATGCTATCTTCTGGTGATCAAAACACAAAGAGAACTTGTAAAGCACAATTCAGAGTCTTGGTGACAAAAATCCTTCACAGTGAGAATAGAAGACCAGTGGAGCTAACACACTTTTATGACATGGCTAGTAGCGACAAGGTGAATTTTCATAATTTATGGCATCATCCTCTGCTTATGGCATCCCATGAGAGATACAAGTTTCCCAAGAAGGCCTTGGCAATCCTTAGAAGTGTGTCACATTGGATTGAGGACTACAAATCTTACGAGAAAAGTAAATACATAGATGAAAGGAAAAGGAATACTAACATCAGAAACAGCATTCAAAGTTCCAAGCATCATATAGCTTTTAATTCTGTTTATGAACTAATAAAGATAGTTATGAAGATAATGTTGTGGGGGTGCTAATTACACCATAAAGATTGCAGGTCATCTTGGTGAACATTTGACCAAGACCCGTCAAAACTCTTTGCACATGAAATAGAAGAAGCGCTTACTTGCATTGTTCCCCGAGAGACTTATAGATTTATTTGAGTTCCTTGTAGTTCATAAGAATCTTAGTGTGGTTACAATTGAAGCCGTGTTGCTTGTTCATTTTGATGCTCCAAATAAATCACCAAGTTCATCTTTTGCATATTAAGGGACGTTTTCTTAGCTTCATGCTCTTCCTGCATATGGCGAACTCTCTCTTCTGCTTCCCTGATGCTAGCTTCCTTGACATCCAAATCTTCAATCTCTTTAGCAACCTCTGTAAGATTTGTCTTAAGAGCCATCTTGGTGTTTAAACATTCCTCGTGCTGACAGATCAAATCGTGAATCACATCAACATTCACATCTCCTAAGGCTTAAATATAAGCACTGTTCTTGGAATGTCACCTGACGAGCTCAAAAATTCAGTCAACAAGCTGGGCAAACTGTTTAAATGTAGTTTCACCACACCCAAGAATGTCAACCGTTGACCCCAAAAGTCGAAGGGCCATAATGATCTCTAAATGGTGCATACGAAGTTGAGCAGGTGTCTATGAGGAGGAAAGTCGGCTGAAGATACCTTCAGTTTCTCTGGTGATAAACTCCTGCCTACTCTGGTTCACTTCATTCAGAAGAATTTGACAAACAAAATTCTCTATTGATACCAAATTTCGAAAGGTTGCACAACTGATATAGACCTTACACCTTCAAGACATTGATTATCGGTTGGACCGTTTTGAACTTGTTGAAGTTCAAATTCTTTACTGAGGGGCTCTGACCCACTGTCACCCATGTTGGAGTTAGCACTCTCATGAAGAATGCTTTTCTCTTCACCTGAAGAAAGGACCTCAAACACTGAGAACTGTGGCCTTTTAGCATTACGAATTCTCTTCTTGTGTCCTTTGCTCGAAGGAGCACCATGAGGAGGTGAAGATGAATTGAGGCCCCTTTTGCCCATGCCTGTCGAGATACATTTCAAATTATTAGTCACAAAGACGTGGTCCCTCTTTTGGACGTGCATGTCTACCAATGAGAAAATGTTTGACACAAAAAAGCTCATGTAAGTCATCCACCATCTATAATACCACAAAACATTATCCAATGCGGGTGAAGCGCGGAATATAGAAACGCGTCGTGGTATCTTTGCGCAGAAGGGCTGCTTAGGCTCTCGTCAACTTCTCAATCCCACAACACTACCTCTCACGTACACTAAATAGAAGTTGGTTCGCCGAAAATCCTTGATCAAAGCCAAACTGGCGAGCAAATCTGTTTGGGTAGTAAGGCTCCAACCAAAGATCGCCACCTACCCTTACAAGAAGCAATGCAGAGCGCATGCAAATTAAGTACTCAAAGGTATCATATGCTAGTGTCTCTGTGTCTAAAAGGATATAATCCTCATGTGCAAGGAAGACATTAGGGCGACAAACCACATAATCCCTTATGAAGATTATCCTAGCTCGAGTGAGGTCAACATATTTGGCCTCGATTTGGCTATACCTTGCAAGAAGAGGGTAATGTTCTGGAAAGTCGCTATCACATCGACGTGTAGTCAGGTCAGGAAAATACTCGCCTAACCATCCAAGCACATAGAGAATGGGAAGACATGTGTTTGCTAGGTCAGGGCCTCTAAGATGAGTAGCAACTGTACCAAGAGCATGGTAAATAACACCTAATACCGCTGGAGCAAGCCAAACTTTGAGCCCACGAGCCATCAAACTTGCCATATAGAAGCACTTGGGCCTTATGGCCTTGCTAGTTGGCATGACAAAATGGCTAAGCCAAAAAGCCAAGAAAGCAGCCAGTTGACCCTCGTGAGAAATGTTCAAAGGAAGTTTCCTAGCCTCAGCTACTTGTTTAGGAATTACGTTCTTGCCATTGCTAGTAGCACCATATATAGCTTCTCTTCGGAAAAAATGCTCAGCCCAGTGATTGTGGTAAACTTGACCTTTCTGATGGAAAATGTGTAACTGTGCATGGATTCTCAAAAGTTCGCCAACACTCGAATGATAGAAGTCTTCACGACATAATTCTTCGTTTAGAGGAATGAACTCGTCATATGGGAGGCCCAAAATTGGTAACTCGCCAATAACTTTCAAGTTGTACAAAGAAATACTCATTTCGCCATTTCCGTGATGGAAAGTGTTGGATAGAGGCCCCTATAACTAGCAAAATGTTCTCCGTACATTAGAGCAACAATCATAAGAGTAACGGGAAACAGCCACTGCACCAAAAATACCAGCTTGGTGCAAAATGTCTCCAAAATTGTGCAAGATAGTTTCTTCCATTCCATTATGAACGGTTGAAAGGTAGCTCGACCATGAAACCTGAAATTGCCCTCCCTGCAATTTGCTCACGAAGCATCTTACGCATAGCTGGATAAAATTCATATCTTGATAAAAACTCTTTGTCCCCATCTAACGAGTTGTTTACTTTCGTCAAATAGTGAGCTTGAAAGTAAGCACCTTTTGCTTGGGAAACCTGAATGACTCTATCTTCTTCATGAGGATTAAACTTGAAATGTCCACTACTCACTTGATCAATATTGAACCAAGTCACGTGACTCTCAGGAGGTAAGGAGAGGTTGATCGAGTTCATAGGAAAGGATCTCATATATTCCGAACCAGCTGTGATTGCTTCTCCACGTGCATCCTGGGCATGTTCTTGGCGAAGGTTCCTGTGCGCATTCATCACCTAAAATTGAGATGCAAAAGGGAATTAGTTCATAGTTTAAGACAAAAGCTTCTCAAGCTTTGCACGCGTAAAGACATTAGACACACGAAGCTTGAGGGGGCAACTGTTGAAATTTAAAAAAAAAATCGGCCAATTAAATCTTATCATTTATTTCAAATAAAGAGTAAATGATAAAGTCAAACCAACATAGGTTCCCAAAATTTTTGAGATATCTGTTATGTTTCAAACTAGTAAGGCTAAAGCTGGTCAGCACTTACTTGAAATTCAAAAAGTGTTGCGTTGTCAAAAGAGTCTTATCTAGTTGGCCTATAAAAAGGCTACAACATAAAAAGAAAAAAAAAGAGGAGAAAGCCGACGACAGATTAAAAAAGACTGCTGGAGAAATTAGGGCAGTGCAAAGAAGAGAGGAAAAATTTCTACGGGTATTCTGTCATCTTCATTTTTTTTCTTTTCTATGTTAGGCATGGCATGCCACAAATCCATAGGTGAGAAACCCAAAAATTATTTGGATGCAAATCTATGGGTGAGTAACCCTGAAATCATTTGGATGCAAATCCATGGGTGAGTAACCCAGAAATTAGCTTGCAGTACTGACAGCCTGTTTGTTTTATTCTTATGCATGCGTAAGTTTTGTACCAATTGTGGCTTTGTGTAGTCTTTTAAGGCTGAAGAGATACAATGTTTGCTATCAATTTGGACTGATCTCAAGTGTTCCAGATAAGTATAGGAGTGCAAGGTCTGATTTTACTTGGAAACAAACTCTAGGAAGAGTTGAATAGCTATCAGGTTGCTTCAATCAGCTACTGGACCAAAGCTTTTCATGGGCTCCTTGCTCATGGGCTAATTAACAACAAATATTAAAGGCCTGAAATAGATTAATGGGCTGTCAAAATAATTGCCCATTAATTCTCAAAAGTCCATAATATTTAATGGGTGGACTAAATAAACATTCATTAAATTTACAGAGGCCCAAATTGCCTATATATACTATAATATAGTTCATGGATCTTTTTTTCAAAACATCCTCATAGCCATATTTGGGCCCAAGTGCAAATGTCAATTTTAGAAAATTAGTGGGTTAATTAATCAAAATTGCTCATTATTTTTCTTGGACATTTACAAAAAGAAAAATGGTACAAAACCATCCAATTTTCCCTATGGGTCAACTACCCATGCAATTTTCATTGAGATTAAATTCAAATCTCTCAAACAGGAATTCTCAATTAATGGGCCACTCTCACCCATTAATTTCCATATTTTCTCATGGGTCATCTACCCCTAAAAATTTCAATGAGATTAAATTCAAATCTCCCAAATACAAATTCTAAATTATTGGGCTATACTTACCCATTAATTTCCAATTTTTCTCATAGGTCATCTACCTATGAAAATCTCCAAATATTCTCAAAGACACAAATTCTCAATTAGTGGGCCACACTTAACCATTAATTTCAAGATTTTGGAACTACGTCGGTTTGATCCCATTAAGGGTACGTAGGCAGTTTAGTATCTCAATAGACGCAACCGCAACCAAATTTGAATCACTGGTTACATCAACCAAATTACCACAAATTAAATATCTACCTTTACACAAATCAATTTCGAACTACGTTGGTTTGATCCCTTTGAAAGGGTACGTAGGCAATCTAGAGATTCAATCTAGATGCAACCTTCCCAAACACATTTCCATATCGAATCCCTGGTCTATTAAGCTAAATTCACTCAAACACTCCTCAATCAAATTCATTCAAATTCCTCCTTTCGTGATGAGTCATTTATTCATTACGAATCTTTGAACTACGAGTGGCTTGATTCCTGCAAAGGATACGTAGGCACCTTGAGGTTGGACTTGGGAGTAGCGGCAAAATCGAACACACACGTTCTGTTTCTTTTTTATGGAATCAAAGGGTGTTCCCTTGAAGTAAGGGATTGTAATTAAGAGACTTGCGTCTCGAATGGGTCGAACCTAAAATAATAAAACCCCAGTTATATAATTAGTGGTGGTGAAATTATGTTGGGAGGATCACATTTTCCTTCAACATGGGATAAGCAGTTTTAGGATCTCTTCTTCAGAACGGCCCTGAGGTGAAGTGTGATGTCAAGCAACAGTGTCAAATCAGTTTATGCAAAAGATCATCTAGACAGACATTTCAAAACTAACAACAACGTCTTTTGTAGTTAAAGAGAAAAACATTTAGAGAATATGCAACACAAATTCACTCAATAACAATCAGTAATAATCATAAGTTATTATGTATAGTTCATGTCACCATGAATGTCTTGTAAAGAAACAAATATAAAACAAAAAACTTTACTATCAGTATGAGATTAAAAATAGAAGGGTAGGACATGCTCATAACACTTCCAAATATGTTTATTACCAGCATATGATATTAAAATTGAAGTCTTATTGGATTGCACATAGACTGCCTCTTTCTTTCCCATTAACAGCTTCACTCCGTTCGTGAGGACAGTTGTTTGATAAAACTTACAATAAAAACATAATTAGTACTGCCTTATGATCAAAATAAATAAGAAGGATTCGATAGGCAACCACAATTAGCACTTCTAAACATCTTAGACCATCTCCAACCATGTTGGGGTTAAACTCAAATTTTCACCATCCAAAATACAACTATTCATGTATTTTTAGGACTCAAACTGTTTTTTCCTCCAACCTTGCGGACTCATAATTTGAGTCCGCAACTTTATTAAATTATTAAAGAATAATATAATCCTATTTTGTTTTTGTGGTTAATTTTTTTAAAATTAATTTTTGCATATTACTTTGTGATTTATTTTTTTGAACATTTTGACATAAATTTTTTGAAATTTCACAAACATAATTTTATTAACAAATTGATGGGTATTTATAGAGTTTAGGATATGTTTTGAGGTTGCTTCCAACTTATAATAATATATTTACTTATTTTGACCTTTGGATTTAAATTTCAGCTGTTGGATTAATTTTTTTCCCTTTGATCCAGCCAAAATTTAATATCAGCCGTTGATTTCTAGCCTTTAGGTTTGAAAAAAAAAATGTGAAAGAAGCCCATTTTAAATGTAGCCATAGAAGTCCAATTTTTAAGTTGCCTAGGCTTTGACAAGTGGCCAGCAACTTGGGGTAGTGGGCAACAGCCCATCATTTGCTTCAAATGTGGCCTCACGTGTCTCTTGTCTTTTGCGAAATGGGCCCCACAAAAATTCTGCCTGGACTGGAATCTGAGGCGAAATTCCACCCCATTTTTCAATCCACTCAAATTACCCCCCCCCAAATACATGGGTTGGAGAAGATTTTGAGCTAAAAATCTCAAATTTTAGGTTTGACCTCCCATGGTTGTTGATGGTCTTACAGCGAGTATTGACTTCCAAAATGCATTCCGCAATTCTTAGGCAGTTCAAGTCCTAAGGTACTCTTTTTTTTTTGGTCAACCATGAATTAGATTCCAAGCCAGGTACTCTGCATATCACAAAATCAACCATTAAAAAAAAAAACCTTTGTATAGCCGCGCGGCTATACTCTATATTTAAAAGGCGTATAGCCGTGCGGCTATACTACTGATTTAAAAACAAAATTTTAAAAAAACAAGAACCCTTTTAGTTGCATTAGTTTATACTTTATAGATATTAATTTCGTAGTTTCGATACATATACTTTATAGATTTAATTTTTATAATATATATTATTTTTATTTAATAATATGAGAAAATTATTTGTATAATACGTGAATTTTGTGCATATTATTGAAAATTTTGTAAAAAAACAAAGTGTATTAAACATGAAAAATAAGTACATATGTGTAAAATATGAGTATTAAACGTGAAAATGCTAAATTCTTTATACGGGTAATAACTCTAGAAAGTAAAAACTCCAAAGGAGTCAATACAGACTCGGGTAATCTCCTAATAGTAATGAATAATACTCTAAACTATTGATAAACAAAAATCGGGGAAAAACAATTTATAAAAAAAACTAAAAATTCACAGTATCTATGTAAAGAGTATAGCCGCATGGATACACTATTTATTTTATATAAAAAAATTAGTAAAGCCGATCGGCTATAAGCTATTTTTTAAAAAAAATCCCGACCAAAAAAAAAAGAAAAAAAAAAGGACCTGCCTAGCGCCCAACTAGCGATTCATCGTTCACATGTAAAAATAGTATAGCCGCGCGACGATAGTATATTTAAATATAAAAACGTAGTATAGCCGTTCGGCTATACTCTTTTAAGTATATTATATTTAATAGGCGTATGGCCGAGCGGCTATATAATTTATTTTAAACAATTTATATATATATATATATATATATATATATATAAAGGACCCTTCTAGTTTCGTTCGTTTATACTAATAGATATTAATTTCCCTGTTTCAATATATATACTTTCTAGATTTAAATTTTTTTAATATATTATTTTTATTCAATAATCTGCTAAAATTATGTGTATAATACGTGAATTTTGTAAAAAACAAGTGTATTAAAAATAAAAAATATGTATGTACGTGTACAATACAAGTATTAAATATGAAAATGCTAAATTCTTTACATTTGTAATAACTTTGGAAAAGTAAAAACTCAAAGGGGACAATAAAGACTTGGGTAATCTCCCAATATTAATGAATAATACTCTAAATTATCGATAAACAAAAATTGGCAACTATACTTCTAAACAGCTTACAGCGAGTATTGACTCCTAGGGTACTTTGCATATCACAAAATGAACAATAACAAAAACCGGTAGTATAGTCGCGCGGTTATACTATGCGGTAGTATAGCCGTGCGGCTATACCCTCTAAGTATATTATATTTAAAAGGAGTATAGCCGTGCTGCTATACTACCTATTTAAAAAATGTAGAAAAAAAGAACCCTTCTAGTTGCATTAATTTATACTTTATAGATATTAATTTGCTAGTTTCAATGTATATACTTTATAAATTTATTTATTTAATATATATTATTTTTATTGAATAATATGAGAAAATTATTTGTATAA